CAAGGAATATATTGTCTGGCACAACACTGCAGATGGCTTCCCTAAAAGCAATCCTCAGCATTCAAAAAAGAAGCCCAATTTAGAACATTTGATGGCACTCATACCTGGTGATTTTACTTTTGAAGATTACATTTTAGTTTTTATTCTTAGGAACCAAAATGAATAAAGTCCCAACCCAACCATATCTTTAGGTTTTAAAGGTATATCTTGGGAATAGCATGTGGGATTTAAAAACTATCCATCAGAATCTTCATCTTCTATTTATTTTGATTCATGAAATATCTTGATTGATTTCTGTCACCTCACGTGCTATATATTTGTTGTGCTATTTCTATTTCTTTGTCTTTTTCTTTCTCTCTTGGAGACACTATCAACCAAAGGTCACTCTAAATTAAGATTTCCATTTGAGATTTTTTTGGAAAGTACATATGAGAATTTAGATCCTCAGTATGAGGGCTGCCTTGTCAGTAGAACTTCTCAAAGGGAACTTTTTCTCCTCTTTCTGCCAAGGTCAAGAGACAGATGTCCTTTTTGCATGGCAAATTTCTTAAAATCCCTTATAGAGCAAGAGGAACTTGGCTTCTCAGCTTTGGACAGGGCTGGATGAGCACTTCAGAGCAAGGCTCATCGGCATAGTGGATTCTGTTGGTATCCTACCCTGATGAGTGGCTGATGCATCCACTCCCAGTTTGTGTGAGTAGAGGTGGAGGTCAGGTGTTTCCCTTGATTTTCATCAAAAGCCTGTTCCTACTTCCTGTGCGATTCTATGTATAATAGAGCTCTTTGTGGAAATTGATCTCTTAGATTATTAGAAGTGAAAAGATTGAGCTACAAAAATAACCCCCAGCACATGAAATTCAGTTTCTGCTTCATTTCCTTCCAGGAAGGGATGCACCTGTTAAGTAGCAGTTAAATATAAGTGGTGAGCCAAGGAAATGCAAAGGAATTTTGATCCTAGCAACATACTGATCTTGAGGACCAAATCTGCTACACAAAAGTTACATATATCATCCTGTCTGATTATAAAAAAAAGAATGTAAAGGCTGCCAAAGCATACCACTAGGCTCAAACCAGTTTAAGTGAACAAAAGTTACCTTGGTCATTTTAATGTAATTGCAGACACTCCCCCACCCCCACCATTGATTTTTCTTAGGTGGTCATGAGTAATTGCATGTGATTATTGGGGTATGTAATTCTTTCATATCTTTTATGTCAGTCACTCCCTGTAAGCAGTCTTGGGGAGGGACTTGATGCTCCAAGCTCCTTATGGTTCAATGAAAGCCTATGCTGGGGTAGAAATGATCATTGTTCTTGATCTTTGTTTTTGAGATGGCCCACTTTCACCTCTGAAAGTGTCTTTCATTCTAATAAACTGTACTCTTCACTATTTTGCTTCACTGCTTACTTGAAATCTCTCACCGGAAGCAAAAGTCAAGATAGCTTCTTTACACACACACCAACTAGGGTAATAACAGTAAGACTTAGGTTATATTTGTTTGGATAAATTGTTAAATAGACTTTCTAGTTCAAACCAATCACTCTTAGGAGAGTGTAAAGAAAGAAGGAGAGGTGCAAGGAAGGAAGGGGTTTTCGTTTTCATGCCTGATGGCCCCTTAGGCTGAACTGGGCTTTTTAAGGGTCTCATTATGTAGCTATGCAGCCTAGTCTGGCCTTGAACTTTTGGTCCTCCTGCCTCCACCTCCATGTGCTACCACACCCATCTATAAATTTTAAGATGGAATGAATTAAGAGGTCAAACCCAAGAACGTAGAGATGATAGCAACAGTTGGTCTGTTTTCCAAAACATGTCGCAGTTACAAAGCCACATCATATCACCCATCCTCTCATACTGATGCCTTCTTCTTCTACCATAGCTCATTACAAATTTTTTTTTGTAGCATAAGGGTTCTTGAAGCCACTGTAACTAATTGTCTGGTGGATTTTTCTAAAAAAAAAAATGTTTTAAAGTTTTCTTTTTTTGGTAGAACTGGAGTTTGAACTCAGAGCTTTGTGTTTGCAAACCAGGAGCTGTACCACTTGAGCCACATCTCAGTTCATTTTGCTCTGGTTATTTTTTGGAGATGGAGTCTCGTGAACTATTTGTCCCAGCTGGCTTTGAAAATTAATCTTCCCTATCTCAGTCTCCGAATAGCCAGGATTACAAGCATGAGCCGCTGACACCTGGCTAGATTTTTCTTGACAGAGGTTTTGCAACTATTTCAGTCAAAATTTCTTTTAAAATGTGTCTGCAAATCCTTTGGTAACCTTCATTTTGTGAAGCGAAGCCTAATTGCCTCCCTCTGAGTGTGAGCTAGACTTAGTGACTCATTTCTAATGAATAGAAAGTAGTGGAATTGATGTTGTGATTTGAGATTAGGTCATAAAAGGTATTGTGGTTCTTTCTTGCTCTCCCTCTTAGATCACTTGCTCTGGGGGAAACCAGTGCCTTATTGTGAGGACATCTAAACAGCTGTGAAAACTTTATTAAACAAAATGGAGTCATTCCAGTTATGCTCTACTAAAATGGAGTTGAGGGACCATGGAAAAGAAAGGGAAACACTCAGGTCACTGATGCCTGTAGGAACTACCTCACAAAGTTAATCCAATGAAACAGCCTGTCCTATCTTGAAGACTATTTTTACTTGGCAACTGACACTGTAACTATGACTTTAAGATTAGCTTTACATCATAACTCCTGCCACTTGGTAATCAGTGCTTCCAGCTTCTCCAAGTACCAAAAACGCCAGTGAAGTTTCTTTTACAATACCTTGCATAGGTTTCTCTGTTCTAAGAAAACCCCCAACCTTTCCTTTATTTTCCAGATGTATCACAGTCTACCTGGCCTGTGCAGGTTGTGTCCCAGATTGCAATCCTATTCTTGTTTATTCCCAAATAAAATTTCTTTTATTGGAGATTTGCCACCATCTTTTTATTTGACTTTGACACAGCAATATGGAGTGGTCCACAGGGACAGTAACCAAGGTCTCCTGTCAATAGCCAACAAGGAACTGGCTTCTGCCAGTAGTCATGGCGTGAGACATTTTGGGAATGTTATCTTTCAGCTCCAGTTGAGCCTTCCAATGATTGGAGCCCAACTGAGAATTTGCCTGCAGAATCCAGAATCAGAAATAACCAGCTAAACCATTCCTGAATTTTGACCCACAGAAACTATGTAATCATAATAAATATTTATTATTTTTAGCTGTCACATTTTGGGGATAATTTGGTATACAGCAATAGATAACAAATATATTCCCTCATATGAAGTTATGCTTCATCAGAACAGGTGATTTGTTGAATTTGCAGTGAGTGTTTTGTTGTATTGATAAACATCCAAGGCCTAATGATAATCACTGGGAGGCCGATGGCTCAGGTTACCCTAATCTTGTTCCCTTCGCCAGGCTGACATACCTAGATAAGATAATGTTGAAGGCCAGGTGCTGGATGGTGGCTGTTTACACCTTTCAGTGATGATTAGTTGGATTAGAGTGCCTGGATTACTGGGTTGAGGTCTCAGGTAGGTAAATTTACAGCCAGGTATTTGCTTCCAGAAGGTAGCATGTGACACTCAGGCAGTGTTGGATCTGGGGGCTCTCTGTGATGCATGCATCACCACATTTTCATTTTCCCTGATGGGCTGGGGTGAAGTAATTTGTCTTGGTTATACGGCCCCATTCCCACTGCATCGCAGATTTTGTGTGAAGTTTTGACTCTGGATTGGGAAGGGGAAGGAACTGGAAAGGACTTGGAAATTATTTTAATTTTATAGCTTATGAAATGTCTGTAAAATCTTCTTTCCACCAGGACTTTGCCTGAATTCCAGGGTGTGGCAGATAGCCTTGAGAGCTCCTGGAAACCTGGTTTTGTGGTGGCTGTGATGTAGGGGTACCTGTCTGAGGGAGAAAACTCTCTTTAGAATGCTCAAAGGCGTGGTGTGAGATGGTTCCTTGGTCGTGCAACCCCACTGCTCAGTGCACAGAAAGATGAAAGAAAGTAACTGTCTGCAAGATTTAGGGCTGTTGAAGACTTCTAAACTGTGACTTCTACTCTTTACTGGCCAAATCTTCTTAATAGTCTGGTCTCCCTGACTTGTGCCCAGTAGAAGACAATCTGCGTAGAACCACAGTATGACCCTAAGTGGACATATCACTGGAGACAAGAGACTAGAGACATTGTACCCTTTGCAAAACTCTTCAATGAAACTGTCCTCAAGGTCCCTTATGCAGTAAGCAGGTTATCAAATTCCTTTTAGAACTTGGGGCATGAGATATTTTTCTGTTCTGAGCAATCTTTAGATTTCCTTCAGTTAGACTGGCAGAACTGTTACCTACTTGCCCTTTGCCTTGCTGCTAGGAGGCTCCAGTACATTTTTGTGCTTAATTGGCATTAGTTTCCCTCAGCTTGGGTGCTGGAGTATCACTAATCTTCCTGTTCACTGTGAATGGACTTTGGATCATTTACAGTTATTTTATTTATTTATTTATTTTTGTGGTGCTGGGGTTTGAACTCAGGGCCTCATGCTTGCTAGGCAGGCATTCTACTACTTGAGCTACTCCACCAGCTGCTACCTTTATTTTCATTGCTTCTTGAACCTTCTGTTTAAAACACCTCATCTCCTTTGGGCAGAGGTGATGGTCAGAAAAGTAGGCCCCTCTGCATCATCCTTCAGTTTAGTGGGACCCAACAGGTGCACCATGGAAAGAGTCTATAGTCTTATCAGTGGGGTCTTCATGGTCTTGCCCCCTCCTTCCTAAGTCTGGAGCTAAGGGAAACTATTGGCATGTGAGGTCCACAGCTGTCTGAAGCAAGATATTGGGAAGGTCAGTTAGTGCAGGGAAGGTTCCAGAATTCCTCCTCCCCAAAAAGATAGGGAAAGCCATTGTCCTTCCCTTCTGGTAGCCAACAAGGACCTGAGACTAAGTAATCAAAGTTCTCATATTAAACTAGAGGAGAGAGAACACCATTTAAGATTATCCCGAGGACCTAGGCTCCTGTGAGTCCTAGCCATCAGTGGGGAGCCTCTGAGCACTCTTTCTGGAGGCTGATCTCCAGGGGGGATGAGTCTGAGACTGGGATTGGCCAGAATCCTGTTTGACTGCCAGGGGTCTAGATCCAGGGAGGTGCTGGGAGGCAGACTTCTGGATCCTGCTGGCAGAACTGGAAGTCCCAGGGCCCTGTGCTTTCTTGTCCAGAGTTTGGCTTTGGCTGGTGGAATGAGGTGTGGGCTCTGGAAAACGAAGATAAGAATGAGGATGTGAGAGATTTTATATAGCTTGAATTTGGAGCTTTGCAATATATATAGACTTTAGTCCCATTTGGTGATGAGAGCTCAGACCCTCCGGGGTCTGGGGCCACCATGCCTACCATTTGCATGAACAGATCTGTTAGAGGAATGTGGTCTGCTGGCTGGGGAGTAAGACTTTGAACTCTGGCCTACGCTAGAGCTCTTATCCTAGATTTATAGATGATAAAATCAGAACAATAACAGCTTCTCAGGGTCAAAGAAAATGATCGAGAGGAAAGGGTTGTGCAGACTATTTGAAATCAGATACAGTTTCCAGCTCTTTCATGTACATGTTTTTTCCCCTTCCTCAAACTCCAAGCTAGGGACAGTGATTGGCCTATTTTTCACCAAACCTAGTTCCTCTTCTTTTGAGACTAATTCTCCCTTGTGGATGGGTGTGCCCATGACAGAGTCGCAGGCTTTGATGTGCACCACTTCCAGCTGTGTCCTCTAGGCTCCCCACCTTGTACAAACTGGATGCAGGCAGAGTCAAAAGATAGGAGTCAAGTTTCTACATTTCTACTTGTGGCCATCTAGGGGATTTTCAAGTGGAAACACCCAGTTTCTGTTTTTTTTAATTTTTTTTTTTGGCAGTACTGGGCTTTGAACTCAGGGCCTCACAATTGCTGTGCAGGTGCTCTACCACTTGAGCCACGTCCTCAGCCTCAAGATGTAAACTTTCATTGTGCTTGAGCCATTAGGTATTTTGGGCCTGTATGGTACAGCAGCTAGTATTATTCTAATTAATGTTCAATAATAATAATAAAGAATAAATAAGAAATATGTAAGGTCTTATCTATATGGGTTTGCTTATAGAAACTAATAAAGTATTCTCTAAATAATGAAAAAAAAGAATAAATAAGAGGCTGGGTGTGGTGGCTCATGACTATAATCCCAGCTACTCAGGAGGCAGAGATAGGACGAATGCAGTTTGAGGCCAGCCCAGGCAAAAAGTTAGTGAGATCCTATCTCAATCAATAAGCTGGGCATGGTGGTGCATGCCTGTCTTCCCAGCTATGTGGGAGGTTGTAGGGAGGAGCAACGTAGTTCATGTGGACCCCTGGGCAAAAATATGAGATCTTACCTAAAAATAACCAAGCAAAAAAGGACTGGCATTGAGGTTTAAGTGGTAGAGAGCCTGCCTAACAAGCATGAGTCCCTTAGTCAAACCCCAGTACTGTTAAAAAAAAAAAAGGAAGAAAGAAAGAAAATGATAGAATGAAATTGCTAAGAAATTGGAACCCTTGTAGAAGAAATCCTAACTCCTAAAGTATCAGTCATTTCTTGGCATCTTGTTTAGTTCTCACACCCAAGGCCAACATTACTGCATGGATGACACTGTTTAACTTAAAAACAGAGATGGTCTCTTTCAGCTTGACCTTTCCTCCCTCCCTTCAAAGCCCTGAGACACCTTCTTTAGAACTTAGTGGCCTTTTCTCACCCTTTTATTCTAGACATTCCAGTGTTACTTTTTTTTTTTTTTTTTTTTTTAGATAATGCAAACTACTACTACCAGCCAGTATTCATTGATTCATTCTCTGTGCCAGGAACTCTGTTAAGCACTGTGAATGCACGGTCCCCTCTTGTCTTCAGCATCCCAAGAGTAGGTGTTATGATTCCTGGATTAACTAACCCAACTTCATATAGCCAATAATTACCAGCATTCTGATTTCAACCCAAGATCAATCCAATTTCACATCATATGCCCTTTACCTTTCCATATGGCCTTATAAAATGCCATCACCATGGAAAAATATTTACCTTCCTTGGTGAGTTGCAATTGGGTGGCATTTTTGGAACTGCATTTAGGTGTGTCTTCTGACTCTCTGGCTCTGCCTTTGACAGACTTGTGGCTCTTCTCAACTTCGTGGAGCTGCAGGAAAAAAATGAACTGTTGGTCCTGGTCAGGAACATGGGTGTTTGAGCTCAAAGCCCCAGGTGGTGAGAGGTAGAGAGCAGGACTGTGTTCTCAGTTCTTGCTGATGACCTTCAACTGTCTGTTATTGGTCTACAGCTAATTGGAGAGTGTGGCCTGAGACACTCAGGTGTGCACAGCACTTGAAGGAACAGCTAATCTTCTGATCCTATTTTTCAGTGTTTTCCTGTACATATGGACAGGAGTATTATGAGGTTAACAGAAGGAAGGATGGGTGGGGAACCAGCAATAAGACCCATAAACTTGGTTCCAGAAGAGAGACAAAGGAAGCAAGGAGGACAGGGCTCAGAGAGGGCTGGGGTCTGACTGTTAGGGGGTGTGTTTTGGCAGCAAGCAGTCAGAAATCAGGGTGTCATCTGGATTGTTGAGACAGGCTGCCCATGTGTCCAGGGAACTCAGAAGATGTCATAGGCTAAGGGGCACAGCAATCTATAGTTTTGACAACACTTCTTTTAGGAGCTATACTGTTAATGTTTTTGATGCTTGGGATTGAGTCCGTAGTCCTGCAAATGCTAAGCACATGCCCTACCACTGAGTTATACCTTCAGCTGCTTCTAATATCAGTTTTAATCTGCAGGAATTATTGTAGGCACGGGACTTATGAATCAACATTGGTTGAGCCTTTGGATTTCTCCTGTGCTCTAGCAATACTCAAAATTTGTCATTTCTATTATGGATTCCTAAAAAGCCTCATAATATAAATGCATGCTGTTGAATCTCACAAGGCTACTTCATATAATATAGATATTTTTAAATTTGGATTAGAAGAAAGCCATTGAGATAATACAACTGAGATCACAGAACAAATTAACAAGAAACAAAATCATGACATCTTTTTACCTTCTAGGATGAAACTTTCCATAGACTCACCGCTTGGATTTTCTTCCTCAGCTGGGCATTAGCTCGGGAAAGGCTTTTTGAAACTGAGTTCAGGTAGTATATGGCCAGGCTGTAAGAGAAAAAAAAATGCCTTTTATGGTTTGGGAATCTTTGAAAATGACAAGAGCTGAGTGCTTTTCCTAGTAGGGTTGGGGGAGGCCCTATATCCCAGGTTCTTTTCACAACATGGAGAGGGTCCTAGACCCCTATCTATTCTCCATTTTATAGAGTGTGGCATGACCTACACACCTCTAGCTCTGAGGATGCTTATTAAAGGTTGGCAAATCTGAAGAGGTGGAGAGTGGCAGTTTCTTGTCTACAGAAGAAGCTGGTTATGTTTCCTGGACACCCGCCTTATGTCAGTCTATGTGGCATGTGCACCCCCCCCACACACACAAATCTCATTGGTTTTGACGAATATTCCATGAAGTAGGGAGGATGATTTCCATGTTTACAATCTAGGGATTCAGAGAAGTTAAATAAATTTGTCCAATGTCATCCCACCCTTTAATATTCCTTGAAACTCACATTTGAAGCCAAAATTCTTTCTATAATCTTTATAAGTCCTGAGAGAAGAGAGACAGATGCTCCAAGTTTGCCTAGAAAAATAACTGCAGATGTCCTGAAGATTCCCTGCCCAGGGGGCATTGACATGTCTGGACTTAAGATTTTCACAGTCCAGCTCCCATTGATTGACTGGGTGGCTGGTGTCCTTTGACAGTCTGGGCTTTTTTCCCACAGAACCTATGATCTAGGGCTATGACCTAGACTGTACTATTTGGGGAGAGGAAGGGAATATAAGCCAGAGTGCTTCCCAGGTTGGATGTTTTATCATTTGTTGCCTGTGAATTTTTAGGTCCATCATTATTAGTAACTTCCTCCATGAATCTTAAGCCTCAGCTGCTTCGGCTTGAGTCTTCTGAGATTTTCTCCTCAGGGTTGGGTCACTATATCTTCCTCAGTAGTGCTATCTTTAGCCAGAGAAGAAGAACCACTTTGTCCTTGGAGCAAACTGTGGATCTGAGGCTATCAGGTGAGCCTCCCAAAGCAAGGACTCACAAGACTATGGACAAGTGGAGGAGAGAATGGAGGACAGGTGATGTCTGTTTTGTAAGGCTTCTACTCTGTGCTAGCCCTCTTCACCTTTCCTAATAACCTATTCATTAGAAAGGTTACCAGAGGTCAGAGGAATAACTTGTTTTGCTCAAGATTACACAACCAGCAAATGGTGGAAAAAATTCCTGTTGAGGTGTTTTTTGTTTGTTTGATTTTAAATTTAGCATTTCTCCTTACTGCTTTCAAGGGTCAAGTTTGGTGTCTAGGTTGCATAATTTATTTAGGAGGTCACAGTGAAGTTCAGGTTATCACTGTCATGTCATTCCTGTCCTGCCAGAACTGGAAGAGTTCTTGAGATGGAGAGTGTAAAATGCTGTGCAAGTGTTTGCTGCTGGCCGTGGCAGTGTTCAAGGCACGGAGCAGACTTTCAACCATGGGTATTACATGAATAGATGAGCAAATGAAAGGACTCTGTGTTCATCATGGCCCCTGTAGGGCTCTGGCATACCTGTTAGTCTGTATGCACATCCAGAAAGCTTCTGGAGGGGAAGAACTGCTACCTCAGAGTATGGAGTCCCAGTCCCCCACCAGGATGACAGCCCTGGAGCAGCAGCCAAGAAACTGACCACAGGCTCTGGAAAGGTTGACTCCTTCATAGTTAAAGGGAGTTCTGATAAGAAGCAATAGAGCTGTTTCTTGAACTACTCCTTAGAAAACTGATAAACAGGCAGAGACAAAGAGACATGGTTAAGGAACAACAAGGATGATGCTCAAAAAGGGAAGATTTTAACAAAATCTTTACAGATTCGCCAACGCTAAGTTAAATGGAGATGTCAGCAAAATGTGATGGTAAGAACCTCTGAAAACTGTCTCCTTCATAAAAGCAATGAGAACACTGGAAAAAATGGTTAGAATCAACTTTTTTCAGGCCAGGTGTAATGGTCCATGCCTTTAATACCAATACTTGAGAGGCTAAGTCAGAAGGACCACAAGTTTAAGGCCAGCCTGGGCTACCTAGTGAGACCCCGTCTCAAAAAAAAAAATCAACTTTTTTAAAACCCTAAAGGTTTTCAGGGTATTTTCAAGAAGACAGCTGAATCTCAGTAACAACAGTGAGCTTTTCAAAATTGAAGTTGCCTTATTTCTCTCTCCCCATCTAATTTTGCAGTAAGTTTGAAAAACAACAGCCCAAAATCATGGTGAAAATCAGTAGCCTGGCCTTTCACCAGAGCGAGTGGAATGGGGTTCAAATCCTTCAAATCCTTGTTTCCATAGAATTGTCATTATTTGATTTATCCAGTGGCTCCCTGGAAGATGACACTCATAGGCTGTTTTTCATTTACCTGGCTCAGAGCCTGACCAATGTCAACAGCCTTTTCTCTGAGAGTTTGTCAGAAGCAATAGGAGGCAATTGTTGGACCTCATGGCTGTGTGAGGTGTTGGATACTAGGGCAAACAGTAGACTAACCAAGAAGCTTAACAGGAGAAGTTGAGGACTGAGGTGCTCAACAGGGGCTCTAGAAAGCATTGACATTTTCCTAGAAGCATGATGGTCAGGGGTCGGTGCATGCCCAGGCTGTGCCCATGCCCAAGAAAGACATGAGAAGGCTCTTAGCTCTCAGCTCTGGCTAACTTTGAGGATTTGCAAAAGCATGGATTAAAGGCTAAGGTAGAGTTGTAAGATGCAATAAGGTTGAATGTTGAAGGCATACCCCAACATACATACAGAGCCCCAATATACAATATAATTATTGGGAGATTTATTGGTTCCAGACATCTAAGAAACTTTGTTTAGTCAGTAAGCTTAACTGAGCATGAACTTCAGTAGCCACACACAACAAATAATACAGACTTTAAAGAATCAGTTTAGAAAAGTCACTAACTAAACAACAACAATAACAACAAGAAGCAACAACTTGCTGGGAGCCAGTGTTTCATGAAAGTCTGTAATCCTAGATACTTGGGAGGTTGAGATAAGGAGGATCGTGATTTAAGGCCAGCCCAGACAAATAGTTTGAGAGACTCCATTTCAAAAATAACTAGAGAAAAATGGACTGGAGGCATGGCTCAAGCATGAAGCCCTGAGTTCAAACCCCAGTCCTAAAAAAAAAAAAGAATATATATACACTAAAAAAAAAGAACTATATAAACTAAAAAGCTACATAATTCTAGGAAGTGGGTAAAAGCTGATTTTCAGAGTTTGCATGTAATACTTAAAATTTCCAGTTTCAACAAAAACCAATGAGACATGCAAAGGAACAAGAAAGTATGGTCCATACAAACAGGAACGATAGTTAACAGAAACTGTCCCTGAAGGAGAGAGGTTAGGCAGCTTTCTGTGACTGAAACCAATACTTGAGATAATCAACTTATACAAAGAAAAGGTTTATTCTGGCTCACAGTTTTGGAGGTTTCAGTCCATGATTGGCCAAATTGCTTTTGGGTCTGTGATGAGTCAGTACATCACAGTTTGAATGTGTAGTGGAGCAAAAGCATTTACTTCATGGCTGGCACATCAAAAGAGAGAGTAAGGGGATGCTGGGGTCTTATCATCCCCTTAAGACATGCCCCCAATAATCAAAAGACCTCCTACTATATTCCTCTTCTTAAAGCTTCTACCATCTCCCAACAGCACCAAGCTAGGGACCAAGCCAGATCCAAACTATAGCATAAACCCAGACAGTATAATTACTGGACAAAGGCTTTAAATCAGTTACCTTAAAATATTCAAAGAAGTAAAGGCAGCTATGTCTAAAGCACTAAAAGATAAGTACAAACTTGATGTCAAAATAAAGACCATCAAAGTCATTAATAAAAGAGCCAAATAGAAAATTTGGAGTTGAAAAGTACAATAACTAAAAAGAAAGAATTCCTACAGGTCTACAGGTGCTCGACAATATGTTTAATTTGACAGAAGGAGGAATCAATTGAGTCTAAGGAACAGACAGAAAAAATAATGAAGTAAAATAACACCCACTGGACAACATTGAACATAACAATATATGCCTAATGGGAATCCCAGAAGAAAAGGAGAGAGAGGAAAAGTCAGAAAGAATATTGCAAGAAATCATAGCTGAAAACTCCCTACAGCTATGAAGAATCTTAATCTATAAAGGAAGTTCAATAAGCTTCAAGGATAAACTAGACATCACAGTAAGCCATAAGAAGACACAGCCAACTAGAGAATATGAAAAGAAGCAGGAGGAAAGCATCTCATCACATACAAGGCATCTTCAAAAAGATTAACAGGCTTTTCATCAGAAACCATGGAGGCTAGATGGCACTGCTATCATGTATTCCAAGTGCTGAAAGAGAGTTTTCAACTTGAGCATTCCACATCCAGCAAAACTGCCCTTCAAAACAAAGAAGAAATGAACATACTCCCCTAACAAAACAGAGAGTTCAGCAATAAAAGACTTTATGTAAAAGAAATACTAGAGGAATCCTTCAGATTGAAACGAAAGGACACTAGTCAGGGACTCAAATCTATTTTTTTTTTTGATGGTACTGGAGTTTGAACTCAGGACCTCATACTTGGTAGGCAGGTGCTCTACCACTCGAGCCACTCCATCAGCACAGGGACTCAAATCTAAATGAAGAAATAAAGAGCATAGGTAAAGGTAACTGCATAGGTAAATATAAGGGTAGTCTTTGTTTGTAACTTTCTTTTTTCTCCTGTAGGATTCAATGTATAAAGATGTAATTTGTATTGCAGTAATAGCACAAAGGGGTGGGGGAGGCAAGCCCAGGATTCAAGGATAACATAAGCCAGAAGGCCCAAGTGACAGACTGGCAGTTCTATCTACAGGATAATCCCACACTTTCCAGAAGACTTAAACGCAGTGTGGAATTTGGTGAGACTATGATTGCTCTGGTGCGGAAGGCTAGCCTTAGCAAAAAAAGACATTTTGTTGTTCCCCTTATCTTGGACAGCTATAGCAAGGCACCATCTTGAGGGAGGGTCTAGTGAGACTGAACTACTCTGGGAACTAGAAAACAAGAAACAGCAAGGTTCAGGGAGTCTTGGGGCACCCTGCCACAGTCTGGGTGGGAGATGGTCATGAGAGGAGGTTGTAGAAAGGGAGAAGATCTGACCTGGTCCTGCTGAGATGGTTAATCAGCAGGGTGCTCAGGCAGCAAAGGGCATGGTGGCAGAGGCTCCACTGTCCCTAGTAAGGAGTGAGTCTTGTTGCCTGAGGGTCATGATAGAAACAAAGCATGGAGCCTGTGGCCTCCAGGACCTACCTCCTGGGTACATGTGCTGACTGCCTGAGCCCAGGCACCCCTGAACCATGTGATTTCCATAGCTTCCCTCCTACACATGGAAGTGAACTTCTAGGCAGGGTGTGAAGGCACTGAGACCCACCTCAGGAAACTGTATCCCAGCAGGGATTTGCTGCCAGGCAGTACTTAGAACCCTAACCCTCGGCCTCATGGCATTTCTACAGCTTCCTCCCTGCCCTACAGGGAGGCAAACTGCTAGGTGGGGTCTGTAAGAACTGATACCTGCTTCCAGAAACTGCATCCTGGCAAGGGTTTGGTGCCAAGTGGAATTGAGAGCCTCAAGTCCAGGCCCTCAGAATCATGGGATTTCCATAACTTTCTCCCCACATAGGGAAAGGGAAGGACATAGGAGGGTTGAGTGGGCTTACTTTTAATAAAAAATAAAGGTAGACCTGAAGCAAATAGTGAAAAATGTTAACATCTGTTTACTTTTGTGCTAGTATACATGGTTGTCTGTACTATTCTGTATGTTGGAAATATTTTGTAATTTTTTAAAAGCATGCTATGATATGTATCTTTGGGTTTTTTGTTATTTATTTATTTATGCTAGGATTGAATTTAGGGCCTCGTGCATGCTAAGCACATGCTTGTGCTCTATCATTGAGCTACAACCTCAGCCCCAAAGTACATTTTTTGTTTGTTTTTGAGATACTAGAGTTTGAACTCACAGCCCCACACTTGCTAGGCATGCTTCCAGACCCCAAGGTATATTTTTATAGGGATAAAGTACTAATATTTTCACTAGCACATTTTTTGATGATGGCAATTCAAATCTAAGACTTGTTTCCTGCCTTCCTTCATTTCTTCCTCACCTAGTTCTTCCTTGAACACCAATCTTAGCAGTAGGCTAGTGTAGGGAACATCAAACCCACCACCTTTCTCGGTGCTTTAACAGTTGTCGGGGCGAACAATGACGAATGAACCAACAGCTCCAAGGCACAAGGGGCTTAGTGGAGTCAGGCTGTGGGTCCAGCAGGATCAGACTGAGCCACCATGTGTGTGGAGGACTCATCCGCAGACTCACTTCCTCCAGCCAGGCCCCATCTCCTAAAGTTTTCAGGACTTCCCAAAGTAGCACCAGCAGCTGGAGACCAAGCCTTCAACAATGAGCTGTGGGGAACACCTCATATCCAAACCATAACACTCTCAACCTTCTGAGATAGTCAGGGCCCAGACTATCTCAGAATAGTTCTGGTGAACCTTCTGGAGGTTGTTGAAAATACTATCAGAGTCCACCCATATCCCTTGGATCCTATTTTTCCCTGAAAGACTTGCAACTGCCATACCTTTGTCTCCATGCCAGAAGCTTCCCCTTCACTTCCCACCCCTTGAAGCCATTCTACCCCAATTTTGAGGGAAAGCCAACTCCAGTGGCTCTCAGTGACAGATGAGCAGTGGTTTATAAGTACCCCATCTCCCTCACCCAAAGGTGAGACCCATAATCTCCCTGAGTTCCCCAGTAGGATTCAGGTAGAGCCATCCACAGAGGTAGCCACACTCTTTCCTTTATCTTTCCTGTCTCAATTCCTGACCCTGTCCCTGATAAACTACTTACATTTGAATCTTTGTCCTAGGACTGCTTCTGGGGAATTCAGACTAAGAGGATGAAGCAGAAGGACCTTCCCTCTCAAGTGCACTGGGAGGTTTCCATGTGGCAGAGCCATGGGCCCTGGCTAACTTACAACATCAGCAGGATGGCTGGAATGATCAGGCCTGGATTGGCGAGGAAAGCGAAGATCTTGCCCAGGAAGGTTGGGAAATCATTTTCTATGGTTTCATGAAGGACATCGTACATTCTGTTTTTCCCGCTGGAAAGAGGAGAGGATACATTACAGCATGCTGTAAGCTCATATAGCATACAAAATCTGGTCCATGTCCCCATGATTCCAATGCTGCCACTTGCCACTGCTTTCCTGGAAGAACCAGAGCTCTGCTCCAAATGAGGGGCTACATATGAGCTCACCAGCTTCCTGCCCTTGGTACCTCACAAACTCTCAAATAGCAATGGTCTTCTATGTTTTCTTCCTTAGCAAGGGAAAGAAAGAAAAGAATTTTCCCATTTTTTTTGTTGTTTGTTTTAAAAGAGAGGGTCTTGATAGTTGCCTAGGCTGGCACTAAACTCCTGAGTCAAGTGATCCTTCTACCTCAGCCTCCCAAATAGCTGGGACTACAGGTGTGTACCACCATGCCTGGATTTCTCATTTACCCTAATGGTGTACTATAAAACCTATGTGGAATTTCTTCTGAGGTGCCTAGCAATGGAAACAGAGCTCCAGATGCTGATGTGATGGAAACTTCACAGTGCCTCTCAAACATACCCATGGTGAGTCTTCAGGAGGCTGGATTGCCCAACATAGGCTTCTGTATTAATCACAGTCATAATTTTTATTTCCTTCAAATGCCTAAGAATCATGAAGATCAACGTCCCAAATGCTGTCCAGAGACTCCTGGATACTGGTGGCTTTTAATTGATAATTTTAGTGCTAAAAAGTGACCTTAGGGGTTCAGAGATCCTGGGTTAAGTCCTTGTTCTCCCCTTTATTAGCTATGGGACACTGTAAATGATTTATTCCTTCTCTTTGTGGCTGTACTCATACCCTGGCTCTCCCCACTAGAGCTGTACTGTCAAATGTGGCAATTAGAATATAAAAATTCTTAGCCACACTCTTCAAGTGTGATGGTAGCTACTGTGTTAGAAAAGCAGATATATGGATGTTTTCATCATTACAGGAATTTCGGTTGGACATGCTGAGATTTGATATCTTTGGACACGATATTGAAAAATTTTTGCTCTAGCTTCCTCTCTCTCTTGAGATATATGGACAATATGGTATATACTAACGTGCCATAATATGGTATGACAAGCGAAATAATAGTATTTGCTTCTGAAAATTGTTTAGAGGATAAAATACAAGGTATGATGTTATTAAGCTACAAGTGCCCACCAAAATGTTGCAACTAGCAGCTTCATTTATCTCTTGTGAAAGTATAGATCAGTGTTGATACACAATGATATAGGAACAAATTCAGACTGCTATCTGTTTTTATATGACCTGTGAGCTAAGAGCTACATTTTTAAGTAGTTGGGAAAAAAAATCAAAGAAGTATATTTTGTGACATATAAAATTGAAATATGAAATTCAAATTTCAGTGTCTGTAAATAAAGTTTTATTGAAACACAGCCATGTTCATTCACTAATGTATTGTCTGTGACTGATTTTGTCCTGTAATGACAGAGATGAGCAGTTGCACCAGTGGCCATTTGTGGATGCAGTTATAACATGACAGCATTTTGAGTGCCACACATATCACCATATTGGGACATTTAATTTATTTTTATGACTAGTTCATAACTATCATGTAAAAACAAGAAAATGTGGATTTCAAATATTATGCTTTTAAGTCAAAGTTGAGTGTGGACTATCTTGTCATTGAAGTAGGTAGTGTTTTAGTTTCCAGTGGCTGCTGTAACAAACTGTCACATGGATGGGTTAAAACAATTCAAATTTATTCCTTTATAGTTATGGAGGCCAGAAGTCTGAACTGGTTTCATGGGGCTGAAATCAAGGTGTCAGCAGAGCTCCCTCTCTGGAGGGAGGCTGTGAGAATGTATTTCCTTGCTTTTTCCAGCTTCTGGAGCTCCATTCCTTGTATCCCTTGGCTCATGTCCCCTTTTCCATCTTCAAACCCAACAGCACAGACTCTTCAAGCCTCCTTCTGCTTCCATGGTCTCATCACTTACTACTCTTATGTTGTCAAATCTCCCTCTGCCTCCCTCTTATAACGACATTTGTGATTTTGGGTCTCTTGTTGCTATAACTCATGATGGAAATTGCAAGAGCAAGCAGGTGCATGTGGAAGAGGCAAAACACGGGCAGACTCACTTCATATTAATCTACTCTCACAGTAACTCATCCAGTCCTGTGAGGGTGAGAACTCCCTCACTACCTCACTAGTCTCGTGAGAGGAAGGAATGAATCTCTCTTAACAACTTAAATCTCTGTTTCCCTAAGCTCCTATGATGGCAATCAAATTTCAACACAAACTTTGGAGGGGACAGGACATACTCAAACCTTAGTAATTTGCAAAGCCTAAAATATTTCCTATCAGGCCCTTTACAGACAAAGTCAGCTGCTCCTTGGTACAGATAATGCTTCCCATCTCACAGTGTCATCATAGGATCAAATACATGCCACATGCAAAGCCTGTCACAAACTAGGCATTCAAGATACCTTAGGGACCCCCATATTACCACCTCTGTCTGACTTCACTGTGGTCATCTTGAAGATTATCAGAGTCCTTGGCATCTTTCTTCCTCTTTCCCTTCCTCCTGTTGGCCAACTACTAGGACTGTTGGTAGAATTTCAATAAATCCAGAGAGAGAAGGGAAAGTAAATTAAAATTATTCCTTGTCTACCTTGCCAGTAACAGAATTAGATTTGGGCAAAACAAACATAGACTGAAATGAGTTTGGACCTATATCAGCAGCTATAATCTGCTGCTTCTCTCCCAGGAGTTACATAGTGGGGCTGGCATCTGTAGTTCTTCCTTGTCTTCCATGCTGCCTAGGATTGCTCTTCCTCTTCCCTTAAAAAACCAGGCACGGTGACTGCTTGCTCATGACTGTAATCCTATCTACTTGGGAGGCTGAAATTGGGAGGATTGCAGTTTGAGATCAGCCTGGGAACAAGTTAGTGAGACTCCATCTCAACCAATAAAAAGCTGGGGGAGATGGTAGGAGCCTGTCATCCCAGCTATGTGGGAATAGTAAATAGGAGGATCAAGGTCCAGGCTGGCACAGGAATAAACAGGTCTGGGTAGACTGGGTAGACTCAAGTGGTAGAGCACCTGACTAGTAAGCACAAGGCCCTGAGTTCAAACCACAGTACAACCCTCCCCCAAAAAAGTGAATTAATGATTGAAGAATTTTAGAATTCTTGAGTGCTGAATGCTACCACTCATATAGAAGCGATCAATCAGCCTGGCTTGGTATGGTGAATGTCCCAAATGACTTCTCTAAACTGACTCCAGATGTCTAGTTAATTCTTAGTTCATCTACCACAGAAAAAGCCTGAGCCTGTGGTCAAACTTCTCTCACCACTACCTTACTGTGTGTGATTCAGGCCAGACACTGTGGATCTGTGTGCCTAACTTTGAGGAAATACAGGTGAAATGCTGTAGTCCATGTTCACAAATTTGTTCTTTGGGTTGTTATAGTGTTATTTTCAAACTTGAATTGATTGCTGTAATAAAAATATTAGATGATTTACAGGCTCATCGCTGTAATCTTAGCTACTTGGGAGTCTGAGATCAGGAGGATCATAATTTGAGGCCATTCCAGGCAAATAGTTAGAAAGACCCCAGCTCTAAAATAACTAGAACAAAATGGACTACAGTTGTGTGTGGCTCAAATGGTAGAGCACCTGCTTTGCAAGCATGAAGCCCTGAGTTCAAACCTCAGTCCCACCAAAACCAAACAAAACAAAATCAAATAAATGTCCAGATACCTGTGGAAACATGGAACATCTGCTAATAGTGGACCTGTGTTTCTGATTACCTTCAGATGGATGGAGGTGAGCACCCATTGTCCTGAACTTGGGTGGGACACAGATATGGCTTACCACATAACAGCACAGATATGAGCAGCACAATCCTCTAAGTGCTCACAAGTAACAACAACTAAATCCTCATAACAACCCTACGAAGTAAACAGTACCAGTGTTTCCATCTTACAACAATGAACCTGAGGTGCAGAGAGCTAAGCAACTTCCTCGAGGTCATCCTGCTGGTGAGTGACAGAGCATCTAGAATCTATTTTCCCTAAGTCAGGGGCTGGCAAATTTTTTCTGAGAGGGCTAGATGATAAAAATTTCAGGTTTTGTGGTCCAGATGGTCTCTGCTGCAACTACACAGTTCTGCTGTTATAATGAGGAAGCAAACACAGACTGCATGTAGCAAATGGATGTGACTGTGTTCCAATAAAACTTTATTTACAAAAATAGGTGGTGGTCTGGGATAGGTTCCATAGTCTAGTTTACCAACCTCTCTTTACAACCATATGCTATGCCATGCTGCCCATCTTACTCGTCTATGTTGCCTGTCCGGCCTGTGTAGGCATTTGATGTGGTCCAAGTTCTAAGCCCCTCCCTATACAACTGAATTTCTGTGAAGTAATAAGTATAGTTTAGCACTGACTATAAATCAGGTGTTTTCTTCCAGTCACCGGATACAAAACAGTGAGAAAGGAAGCAAAACCCATGCTCTCAAGGAGATTTTGTCCTGGTGGGGAATAAGACAATAGACAAGATAAATAAGCAAAGATGTAGCATGTTAGAGGATAATCAGCAGGAACAATGGTGTGTGTGTGTGTGTGTGTGTGTGTGTGTGTGTGACATTTTAGTTGGGAGCTCCAGGAAAGGCCTCTTTGAGAAGGTGACCTTTGAGTAAAGACTTTGAGCAAATGAAGGACATTTGTGAATGTTCCAGCCCCACTGTCGAGTTTTGATCAGACCAGTAACAGGAAGAAGGTGGCAGCCATGTTTCCTTTGAGTGTGTGTATGTGTGTGACGTTTCAGTTGGGAGCGCCAGGAAAGGCCTGGAGGTTTCCTTGCAGGAAACCTTCCCTCATTTTCAGGTTCCTTCCTCTGTGATCTGGGTGTAGATTTTCAGGGCCTCTCAGGGCAGCAGATGAGGCAAAAGGAGGCATAGATGGTGAGGACCGGGCATGGGCCTACTCACTGGTATCCTTCCTGAGCACAGGTAGGCAACCTGAGAAAAGTGGTGTTAGCATTTGCACCCAGGCCAAGCCCTCCAAACCTTGCTTGGAAGGAAACCAACTGAGGCTTCTCCCACCTGGCTCTCTCTTCAGCCTGGTGTCTATAGCTTTCTACAGCTGAGCACATGCCTTCCACCTAGACTGATACCCCCTTCCTTCTTCATGAACCTGTTTGGCAGGAATACTCCTGCACATCTCCTCTGGGCTCCACCACCCACAGGGCTTATAAACTGAGAAGTGTCAGACCAGCATTTCCCAAAGTGTGCTTCTTCACATTGGTAGGCAGGATGGGCTCTAGAATGGGGTGGGTGAGGCCCTGGGTTGCACAACTTGAGGAGGTTCTTGCTCTCAGGGTAGCACAAATTCAGTACAGAGCCCTACTCACCTGCCTCTCCCCACTTCTTTCTGGGGATGCATGTTCAGTAAGAATAGGAACACTAGCTTAAACATGCTGTCTTGTTGCATGATTGTTGAGGCATATGCATTGAACATTTCTAAGTGAAAAGGTGGCAGATACAAGGGGCAATGTGTTCCAAACTGCTTTAATCCCAGAACCCCTTTCTATGGAGTAGATAGAGGGCTGGTTTTCAGAGGTTCACACATTTGGAACGAGAACAGTAGATCCTCACTATTTCTCATTCTATCTTCTTACACAACTATTGATCTTTTTATGCAATATCCAGCTTCCTAAACTAGTTCAATTTATACTTGAACCCACAGTGCTCTGCCTTGTGTAGGTGGCCCAGTCAAGAGTCTCTGTCAAGCTGCTTCATGCCTGGAAGACACTTAGAAATTTATAGTCATTTCATCTTCAAAATATCTTCCATTACTTATCCTATGGTAAGATAATCACGGGTGGTAGATTATTCAGTGTTAAAAGGTTACAACTGTACCATCCAATGTAGCTAGCCACATGTGATTTAAATTTAAATTTAAATTAATTACAATGAAATAAAATGAGCAATTAAGTTTCCCAGTTCCTCATTTTAAGTGTTTAACGGCCACAGGTGACTGGTGGCTACCATATTGGACAGAGGTAGAACATTCCGTCCTTGTAGAAAATGCTGTTGAACAGCACTCCATGGCCTTTTACAGACTGACATGAAACCAGAACTGGAATCTGAGCCAGGTCCCGTGAGCAGACTGCCTCAAGAGAGCCTGCCCTGGGGCAATCAAGACTCTGCACCTGAACGGGCCGCAGTCAAAGGAGGGCGGGAGGGACATGATGGTGTAGGCCACCGGCAGAAGGCTGAGGAAGAGCACCAGCAGCAGCAGGCCCATGTAGAAGTTGTTGGATCGGGAGGCTTTGAAAACACGCTCGTGGGGGACGTTGCTGCTCATCACTGCCCAGCACTGGAAGTACATGGAGGTCAGCAGGCGAAAGATGTTAATGCCCATTAGTCCTGGAGCATAGAAGGAGCCCATCCTGGAAGGGCAGAAACCAGACACCCGGTTGGCCCGGGAGCAAGAAAGGCGAGGGAAGTTCTGATAGAAGGAAATGGCCAATCTGCTTCCCTGCAGGTCCAGAGGGCAGGGGCCTCCCATTTATTGAGGACATTTGTCACCCAGTCAGAGCCATTCGGTCCTCAGGACAGTAGGACACTCTGAGCATTATTGACATGGGTGCTGGTCAGGATTTCACCACTGCTTTGCCATTAGGCAGCAGCAAGTTACATGGTCTCTGCTCCACTTCTCTGTGGTGGACAGTGACTTGCGGAGCCCCCTTGGCATCTCAAATGTCTTTGGCTGCAGCTATGCCATGTCCTCTCACTCTCTCTCCAAAGGAAGAAGTTCCTTAGTTCATTCACCTCCTTCCTTCTCTCCTTTGCTCACTCTCTCCTTCTTCTTTCTCTCGTTTACTCTTCCTTCCCTCCTCTTTATTTTACCTCCTTCCTTCCCTTTTTTTCTTTCTTGTCCTTTCTCCTTCTCTCCCTCCTTTCTTTTTGTGTTTTCTCTTTCTCTCTCTCTGTTTCTACTTTCATGGTAGCACATGGATGAGCCAGAAACTATCCTGGTTCTCACCTAGCCCTGCCCTGTATTTTTATCATGTGAAAGAGGGACCTCAGAAAGCAAGGTGATTTTTCTAGTCTCTTCCAAGCAAAGCCTGGGATTCTAGGTTTCTAATTTCTCTCCAAATTAGGTGATCTTCAGATAAAATGGATAACTCACCAGATCATTCCTTGGTTGAAGATCAAACCCAGCACATTTCCACTAATATCAAACTCAGCATATGAGGGCTGGTGAGGGAAAGGAGAAAGAGGTAAAGGGAGAGAGAAAGGGGGAGGGAGGGAGAGAGAGAGAGAAGAAGAAGAAGAAGAAGAAGAAGAAGAAGAAGAAGAGAGAGAGAGAGAGAGAGAGAGAGAGAGAGAGAGAGAGAGAGAGAGAATATGTTAGGTGGTATCAGCAAGACTTTTATCAGCTAACTGGCCAAGCCAAGGTCACTCTGTCCCAAAGAGCCTGCTTTGGTAACCAGAAAGGAACCTTAGGCTCAGGATTCTGTTTCTTTAATATGTTTTTGACTTTCAAAGAAATATTTTGAGGTCCTCAAAGCTGAAACTTTTAAAATAAAAATGTAAGTTTTTTTTTTTTTAGAGCCTGCAGTCTGGTCTTTTGTTCTTGGGAGAACCTTACCCACTAAGAGAATATTTTATCCATGTTGTAATCAGAAATTTTACCTTGAAATTATAATCCAGGAGCAAATCTAACAAATAATGAAATACAAACAATTAATTAAGGAATCAAGTGAAAAAACAGCTTTAAAACAAACAAAAACCTAATCTCATTGTCCTCCAGTCTGAGAGCAGTTTGTAGGAAGGAAAGAGCTCAATCTGATAGAGATTTTCAGAGTTTTACTGACTTGTCAAATACTTGAAACATGAAGTTTGTGAGTGCTGAGGAGCTGGGGTCCTCGTGAAGCACGTTTACACGTGCTTCCTGATTTGTCTTCCAGAAATGGAGATGAAGGATAACAAGACTAGAGGAGGAGGAATGAGAGTTAGGAAAGAGAGAAAGGAAGGCCAAAAAAAAGCATGGAACAAAAGAGGAAAGATGCAGAACCCAAAAGTCTTGAGGGCTAAATCTTGGGACCTTAATTAAAAAAAAAAAAAAACAAATGTACTGGGTTTTGTATGTTGCCTAGAAAAATCTTCCTCACCCCAAGATTATGAGTTTATATATACCTTCTTTTATTTATTCTTACTTTTATTTTTACTCTGGTGGTACGGGGTTTGGAATCAGGGTCTTGAGCTTCTTAGGCTCTACCATTTGAGCATGGCCCCAGTCCTATGTATGCTTTCTGTCATAAATATATGATTTCATTTTAGTGATGTTTAAAACTTTGATTCACCTGCAGTTAATTTACCTAGGTGAAATGAATGAGCGATATTGTCCCTTCCCACCCTCCATTTCATTTTTATACAATCCTTCTTTTTTCTACTGATTTGAAAGGCCGCTTTATCATAAACTAAATTCCATTATTGATTGTGTCTATTTCTGGACAATCTATTCTGTTCTATTGATATGTTGTGTATTCCCTCATACCAGTCATAGTTATAACTTCATAATATTTTAATATAATGGTAAGTCTAGTCCCTTTCACTCTTCTTTCTAAATTCTTTCTTAGATATATTCCCAGATGCTTATTTTTTAAATCATTTTAGGATCTTTCTGAACTTGTAAATTAATATGAGGACATCTTAGCAATGCTCTGTCTTCTTACCAAAGATGTCATCCTCTTTGAGCATAAAATTCTTTCATCCACATTCTTAGACACTGTTATGAAGTCTTCTCCGGGCTGAAGAGGAATTGAGTAGGTTTGTTTAAAACTGAGATGGGGACTAAAAGCACAATATGTGACAGAAACCTGTACTGGAGCCTTTACCTGTTGGGCACCCTCAGTGGAGCAGGATGAAGGCTACATAGGAAACCAAGATAGGGAGCCTGTCATCAGGATCCCTCCCCAAGAAAAACCAGTGACAGATAGGTAGGGCAATGAAGTATGGAAGAGAGACATACAGAGCAAATGAGTGGCCAGAGGTCCTGGCAGATCATAGATCACTGTAGAGAGGAAGTGGCACCTGTTTAGGGTGAGCAGTTTACCATCTGGGTATAGGAGTGTCCTAAGTGGAGGGAATAAGAGTTAAAAGAAATTTCTCAAAGAATAATCCAGAAGACAGGACAATGTTATTGTGTTCCTGGTGTGTTCCAGGACCTTCTAAAACATTCATGTCCATCCTAGGATTTCTGACTCCCTGATGAACTTAACACTGCTCAGACATTTCTCCACCAATCATCTGCTCAGCACTGAGTGCATGGTCCACCTTTCCCTACAGCCTCCTAGATAAGAAAGTCACACTAAGAAAAGACAGAACTGCTTCTATGAATGCAAAAGGGACCCTTAAAGGAAGTATAGATTTAATACTACTACACTACTTCACAGAGCAAAGATTTGCATTAAGCATCCAAAGAAATGAAATACACAAGAATAAGTCCACTTATAAGCATCAAGGAGTACAGTTAAAACACCTAGGTGTAGAATGTGTATGAGACAGTAACCTACAAAACCAGCCTCCAGGTCCCAGCACCAGCAGTAGTTCATGAAGCGGACAAAACAAGCCCGTAGGAAGTCCCCCAGCAAGATGGTGATGTATGTTACCAGCATGTCCGACACTGTCAGCCTCATGAATTCCTGCGAAAAGGAACACATATAATAGCAGTGGTCAGGGTTTTACCTTGTCCACTTTTCCAGACTGACTGTAGGCACACAAACTCTCCTCTGCTCACCAGAATCAATTGCTATGACCTTCTGATTTTTTATGGCAGATTGGTGGTGCACAGACAGGTCCTCGGGCTTTAGAGAATGCTTAAATTATGTTTCAGTTATATACATTATTAATTGTATGGCTTTGGAGTGATCGAGGAGCATCTTAAAGATGACAATGATATCACTCTAGTAGGGTTATCAGGAAGTCTAGTGATTGTGTATGCAAATTGCCTTCCCTGTTGGCAATACCCAAAGCATCACAGCTGTCATTGCTAGGATCCCAAGACGTACTCCTTGCTTTCCCCACCTGCTCTGATATGCCATATACTCCTACTAACACTTAATGTGACCATCAATTACTGAGGACAACAGCTGGCTTTTTTTTTTACCTCCCACTAATCAGATTTTGTTCTTGGGCTATAGAGAAAATAAAACACAGAAGCACATAGTGGAAGAACAAAAAGGAAAAGAACAGAGCTGTCTCTACTTCTGTAGGGTACATATAACTGACAATTTTTTTGAAAAATTGAAAAGATCTACTAGACCGCATCACAATTTTTAATTTATAAAATATATTCAAGGTGCACAGGGTCTACTTTACTCATTTTATACCCCCCAAGATGATTAAGAAATGCTTGTTAGAAGAACAGTTGATGAGTTTTCAGGGTTACTCCTCTAAAGAAAATAGCAAAGAAGGAACAACAAAGAACTGAGAAGAGGGGTCATCTTTTCAGAGAGCATAACTACTCACAATGCCCACCGCTGTCTCCCAGCAAGAACCCCGGGGCACATCTGCAGGGTGCAAGGGTGGCCTGGGAACACTCTCGTTCCAACCTGAGGAGTTGTAATAGTTAAACAGGGTCCAGTGTGTGATGTTCTTTATTCGTTCTTCATTAGAAAGCTGGAACAGAAGATGGAGATGTTGGGTTGGAAGAAGCCAGGTACAGGCTGTTTCCACAGGAACAACTGAAGCTAGCATATGCCACAATCCTGTCATCTGGCGTCTGACCTACCTCTGGACAGAGTCTTTTCAGAAATGCTCTCCTCAGGCTTTCAAGACCTTGAGACTTCCTCATGAAGTCATCTTTCCCTCTAAATTAGCATCCATCCATCCATCCATCCACTCATCCATCCATTCATTCGTTCTTTGTTTTGAAAATAATTTCTTCTGAGTATACACGGCCGTGGTGACATAGGAGGGACCAAAAGAGCTGAGGCTTCTTTCAAGAACTTCACCCTCTAGCAAGTGATAGAGATGAACAGAAATTACAAAATAGAGTGATATGAGCTATGGTAAATTTTCTCTGGGGATGGAGGAACATCTGTATTTGACAGTGGGGGGACACGGGAGACTTCCTGGAGGCAGGAAAGGTTAGTCAACTAGTCAAACATGAGAAGACTGGAGAGCAAGCCAAGAGGGAATCTTGCTCCATGGAGACAACATGTGGCCCAAGAGGGTGGGACAGACTCCTGGGGTAGGAGAGAAGCCAGAAATGAAGGTAGAGGAGGAGAAAATCAATTTCCCGACAGATTCCTGTTAATCTTAGGAAACAGTTCCTGCAGCACAATCAGGAGGACAGAGGCGTGGGGAAGATTCATCGTCTAGCCCACTCCGCTCCAGTTTGATTTCCTTTTACTTTTCCCAGCATCCACTGAGGTTTCCTAAGGTGCAGTCTTGACCCCCTCCTATGCACTGTCGTGCTGCCCTGGGTTCGCCCCCATGGAAGTGCACCCCACATCATGCTGTAATGAACAAGTCCATCTCCTGGCTCAGAGCCTGAATACATTTGGAATAGGACTGTGTCTTGTTCTGTGCTATACCCCAGTTCCTCACACAGTGGGTGCTCCATAGCTGTCTGGTGAGCACTGATGAGTGGTTTAGTCAACCATGGGATATCACCTCTGTGGACAACTGCTTGGCTGGTAATCAATTACGGTAGCTATGAGACAATACAAAAAAGGTTGTAGATAAAATGTGAAGGATACCAAATACATGTATATATTATGTGAAGAAACATAATAAAAAAAAAAACTGCAACAAAATGCTAGCAACTGTGGTTTCTGGTCATAGATTCTGGAGATATTTCTTCTTCATTTTCCTTTTCTAAACTCCCAAAATTTATTTAATTAATATAAATTATGCATAGTGAAAACATTATATTAAAAAAGGGAACATGGTGGGCACCAGACCTTGGTGGAATTTGTAGTTTTTACCTTGAGGTGGACATCATCCATCAGGGCCAAGAGAAACGTGTAGAGGTTTCCCAGGAAGAGTGCAAAGATGCGTCCCAGCTGCCACTTCAGTCCAATGCGTGGGTGGTAATTCTCCAGGGCAGCGATGGTTTCGAACAGAGGGGGACAAAACATCCCAAGCAGGGACATCACAATCTCCACCTGAGAAATTGGAAAGCCTGGGTCACTGTATCATCAATCTTACTTGCTTGGGCACCATCCATGCACCCCCATAGCTATCCATCTCCATTTCCCTGATTTTTTGCATCTGGAGATGCTGTGGGCTTCCCTCCCCCAACTTGTCATTCTACCCTGGCTAAGGTATCAACATGCCCTGAACAGTCAGCATATGCCCACATACCATGACCTATGCTACTGGTTGCTATCCTGATTGTTGTTATTAGAATTGATTAAAACAGCAAACTCTCTTTGAGAAGCAAACAAATTAACATATGAGGTAGGGCTTGGTGTTCTATAAAAGTTGTGAGTTAGGCAGGAGTCACTATGGTAGCCCTTATCTCAAGAGCACTGAAGACAGGAACCTCAGGTCACTAAAGGGAACCGACAGTAGAGGGTAGGAGTGTGGCTAAGAGTTTGGCATTTAGAACCAGCTTTCTGAGTTCCAGTTCTGGCTCTATCCTTGCTGGCTTTGTTATTTATTTATTTATTTATTGGGTGGTACTAGGGTTTGAAATCAAGGCCTCACACTTGGGCACTCTACCACTTGGATCACTCTGCCAGCCCTGGCTTTGTAACTTAGCAAAGGTTATATAACTTTTATTAGTTTCTTGTTTCTTCAGTGTAAATAGTGATGGTGGTCCTTGCTGTGAGAGTCATTATGAGACAAATTTACTAGCACAGAGCCTGGTAAGCACTCAGTTTGGGCTTCAATTTTGAGAACATCCTGACTTGTGTAACTGCAGCACATTCTCTCTGCAACTGAGACAGCTCAGTGCACAGTGGAACAGTGGATGCCTGGACTGCTGACCAAATCACAGATTGGCCAAGTCCTCTGGGATATCCTGATTCTTCCTCTCTCTGTTACACCAACCCTTGGGTCTTGGCTTCTCATCACCTCACCTGCTTGTGCCATTCTCACCTGGAGCACCATCATTGCATCGCTACCCTTCTTTTCATGCTTGTCTATGCTCAGCTTGACTCCTGCCTTGCTGCAAAATCCTGCTGTCTCTCCAGCAATCACAGACATTTCTACTGAAACACACATGTAACCCATGTACACTTGATCATATCACTCCTACCCACTGCTATTTGTGCTTTGGCTTATTAACTTATTATTATTATTATTATTTGGCAGTACTGGGGTTTGAACTCAGAGCCTTGTACTTAACTAGGCAAGCGCTCTCCCACTTGAACCATAGCCCCAGTCTTTTTTGCTTTAGGTATTTTTTGAACAGGGTCTTGCATTTTTTTGCCTGGGCCAGCCTGTACTGCAATCCTCCTGTTTTTATCTTCTGCATACCTGGGATGACCAGTTACTGTGCCTGGCAGAATCCAACCGGAGCATCTGTTATAATCCTCTCACAGCTTAGTGACCCAGTGATGGTTTCATGGAGGAGACATTTCTTCCCTCTGACTCTAGTCCTCAGTTCTACCATCCTGCAAAGGAGCTTCCAGAGTTCTTGTCTTTCTCATCAACTAAATGTCTTCTGACCAGGTCAGAAGCTACATTAGGAACTCCAATCCACTGTCAGGAAGGTCTGAGTTGATGTCCAGCTGCACTGGTCCAAGATTGCTTAGTGGTAAACTTAGACAATCTGGAATGAGGCAGCCAGACAGGTCCTGGGTCCTAATCCTGACTAAGTGCTAACAAGCTGTGTGTCCTAACCTTTCTGTGCCTCAGATATTTCCTGCAAACCCCAGGAATAATGATGTCTACCCTGCTGTTGTGCCATGAGGCACAAATGAAATAATGCTCATACAGTATCAAGGCCCATTGTAGGTGTTCAGTTAATAGTGTTATCATTTGTTTTCCTCCATCTCTCATTTATTGAGTTTGTACTATGTGTGAATCCCTGTGCTAAATTCTGAATATAGCAGGGAGGACAGCCACAAAAAAGAAATAGGCAAGTATGTGTTCTGATAATGTAACAGGAGGGAGGGGATGACATAACAGGGAGATAAAACTTAAAAAATCTAAATGTAAAGAAGGTCACACAGCACTGGGGGTAAAGTAGCCAATAGAGTTATATACAACCATATATGGGCTAAACCTTGCTTTTTGCTTCTGTAACCTGCTTGCAAGGGTATATAAGGTGAGACCCCTTTGTTCTTGGGACTCAGCCTTTGGATGTGAATCCATGAGCCGCTGCCAGCATGCTAATAAATACTGCTTCCTGAAAAACCTTGGTACCCATGTCTCTGTTTGAGATTCCCGTAACATGAAGATATAGCAAAGAATGGAAAAAGACACTTGGGATAGATGTAAATAATTACATAAATAATTAATCATTTCAGAAATAAAAAATATTACAAAGGGTAAGTACAGAAAGTATACAATAGAAGTAAAGACATAAGCTTTAAGTTGGGACCTGAAATGGTTCAGATCAGATGGGAGTGTGAGGGAGGAGAAGACACAGAAGCCAGTCCAATGACTTTGCAGCTGAGTGGAGAGGACAAACAATGGTTTGAGGGTGTGGTTGGGGAGGAAATCATTCAGGACTTTTCCTAAGAGTAAACAATGGTATTTTTTGTTGGTATTTTAGATAAGGACTAACTGTAGCCCAGGCTGGCCCAATATGACTGTATCTTCTTATTAAAAATGATAACCAGGAGTTCTGGGAAGATAATGTTAACTACAGTGTTATTTTTTAATCTCCCTGAATTCCTGTGTAAAACTGGACAAAGCAAGTAAATAACAAAACTAAAAACCTATAGGCAGCAAACTAGGCGACACACTATCCCCATGAATCCTAAAATACAAGTGGGTGGGAACAAACTCCTACTAGCCACAAGGTCTGATAGAATTAACTCTGCATGGGAGAAAGCCAAGAGGAGCAATGAGGTGGCCATTGAATCTGAGATAGGAGAATGTTAACACAGGTACTCAGAGAGAAGCATGGTGTATCATGGGAGAACAGCAACCGAAACTTGAGGAATTTTGCTCAGTCCAATAATTGATGAGTACAGGGTCATTCTTGGTTAATCTGGAATTGACTGAAATAGACCAAGCCACTTGATCACTTTAAATTAATCAGCCACGCTCCTTATGGAGATGGCCCAATATTAAGGATAATCTTCTGGGAAAAGAACTGAAACTGAGAAGGCAGAGGGAAAATAAAGAGAAAGGCAAAGGCAAGTCTAGGTAAAAGATAGGAAGGGAGTTAGAGTCAGGAACTCTCAGCAGGACCTCATATATTTTGAAAACTTTACAAAAACAATAGTAGTGAGGGGCTCTGTTAAGTTAGAAAAGCTATCCTGTACTGTGTCTCATGAAAATCTTGGGAAGAAAAACTTTATATAAAAATAAACAGCAGAATATATTTGTCCAAGTGTGAGAAAGCAGTCTTTTCTATCTATCAAAGTGTGTGTCACCATTTTAATTACCTGCATTGTCTGTGGCTCTGGGTTCTTCTTTCAGATTCTTCTTCTGGGTTCTTGCTAAGCCCCTTTGCCTGTGAAAATTGCTCACATGCTGTGTATCCTAACCCCGCCCCCAAATTAGTATAAAATTTCAGCCAATCAAGAAGATTGTGAACTTTTGATCTGAACCAATCCAGGTCAAGGGGCAGGGTCAGTTGTATCAGGAATATGAGGAGGGACAGACTGCCCTGCCCCTTTGTGCGTGCTGTGCCCACGTGCCTGCACATCCTCCTGCAGAAGTAAATTTTGCCTTGTTGAGACAGTTCTCCATTTCTGTGTCTTCAATTGTGACTCCAAGTGGTTTTTGGGGTCTTATTTCTAACACAAGCCAAATCCCATATAAGGTTATAAGAAAAAGAGTAAGAAGCAGAGAACACTGATGCCGTGGCTCATCCCTGTCATCCCAGCTATTTGGGAGGTGTAGGTGGAAGTGTAGGTAGAAGAATCATGGTTTGAGGCCAGCAGAGGCAAAAGCACAAGACCCTATCTGAAAATTAACTAAAGCAAAAAAGGCTGGAGGTGTGGTTCAAGTGATAGAGAGTCTGGCTAGCAAGCACAAGGCCTTGAGTTTAAAAAAAAAAAAAATGACAAGTGCCGGTGGCTCACACCTGCAATCCTGGCTACTCATGAGACAGAGATCCAAGGGCAGCCAGAGCAAATAGTTTGCAAGACACTATCTCAAAAAAACTCATTACAAAAAGGGCTGGTGGAGTGGCTCAAGATATAGGCCCTGAGCTCAAACCCCAGTACTGCAAAAAAAAAAAAAAAAAAACCAAAAACACCCAAAGAAACCCCAAAACCCACCACTACCAAGAACAACAAAAAAAAAAAAAAACCAAGCAGATAAAGCACAAAATCCTGACAGACATGAAAGCACCAAAAAGTTATTTATACAAAACAGCTTAAGTATTTAAAAACAAGCTGAAAGGTGTTTAAAAGAGATATGGCTAAAAATAACAATTTTATAGCAATATAAATAATTAGAAAACAAACAAAAATGAGGTGATAGGAGTCAGCAAAGAATTAGAAATTAAGGGGAAACCATATTGAAATTGAAGAATCTAACTATAAAAGAGGCACAAGAAAAAATTAAAATAAAAGAAAAAATATATGAAAAGGAAGCGATTTTAAAAATAATAAATGAAGAAAGAGGCTAATAGAATTTATGAGAAAATGAGATATATTAGAGATAGACAAAGAAGATCCAACATCAGGATAAAAGTTCTAAACAAGGGAACAGAATAAAGTTTAAAACCATAATTCAGCAACTCATCCCTTACACTGAAAGCAGTCAACTAAAAATTTAAAAGTTTTGAAAAGTGTATAGTGTCTCTGCTTGAGAATATCAACCCAGAATCAACCAGCACCAAGATATGCTCTCATGAAATGACTAGGTTTTAAAGAAAAAGAAAATTCCTCTGGGCATGCAGACAAAAGGAACAATTGATTTAGAAGGGAAAGAAAATTAGAATATTGTCAGAAATGCTTTATGCCAGAAGGAAATAGAGTTATATTTAAGAGAGTAAAACTGATTTTTAAGTCTAAAGAGCACAAACTTATGAATGTGCAGAACTCAGGAAATAGCGTTTGCATAAACATTTCCTGAGGACCTATTAGACAGTAAGCGTTGTAAGAGTAGAGGGTCGTGGAATGGGTACAGGTCAGTTTGGGGAGGCCAACACACAAGATTTACCCTTCCTTCTCCTCTAGATAAGTCCTGGTTCAAGAACTCAGCCTTTATAACCTAAATAATGTCCTCCCAAACCCCAATTCATATGTTGAAGCCCCAACTTCCGGTGTTGTTGTATTTGGAGATAGGGCCTTTAAGGAAATAATTTTCAATTAAGTCATGAGGCTGGGGCCCAAATCCAGTATGACTGAGGTCTTTTTAAGAAGATGGGGAGGCAAAATTAATGAACCAATAAAGAAATAGGCAAGTGAACTAAACAGAACGTTCTCAAAAGAAGAAATTCAAATGGCCAAAAAACACATGAAAAAATGCTCACCATCCCTAGCAATAAAGGAAATGCAAATTAAAACCACACTAAGATTCCATCTCACCCCTGTTAGAATAGCCATCATTAGTAACACCACTAACAACAGGTGTTGGCGAGGATGCAGGGGGGAAAAAGGAACCCTCTTACTCTGCTGGTGGGAATGTAAACTAGTATAACCCCTCTGGAAAAAAATTTGGAGACTACTTAAAAAGCTAGACATTGATCTACCATTTGATCCAGCAATACCACTCTTGGGGACATACCCAAAAGACTGTGACACAGGTTACTCCAGAGGCACCTGCACACCCATGTTTATTGCAGCACTATTCACAATAGCCAAGTTATGGAAACAGTCAAGATGCCCCACCACTGACAAATGGATTAAGAAAATGTGTTATCTATACACAATGGAATTATATGCAGCCATGAAGAAGAACGAAATGTTATCATTCGGTAGTAAATGGATGGAATTGGAGAACATCATTCTGAGTGAGGTTAGCCTGGCCCAAAAGACCAAAAATCGTATGTTCTCCCTCATATGTGGACATTAGATCAAGGGCAAACACAACAAGGGGATTGGACTTTGAGCTCATGATGAAAGCCAGAGCACACAAGGGAGGGTGAGGATAGGTAAGACACCTAAAAAACTAGGTAGCATTTGTTGCCCTCAACGCAGAGAAACTAAAGCAGATACCTTAAAAGCAACTGAGGCCAATAGGAGAAGGGGACCAAGAACTAGAGAAAAGGTTAGATCAAGAAGAATTAACCTAGAAGGTAACACCCACGCACAGGAAATTAATGTGAGTCAACTCCCTGTATAGCTATCCTTATCTCAACTAGCAAAAAGCCTTGGTCCTTCCTATTATTGCTTATACTCTCTCTACAACAAAATTAGAGATAAGGGCAGAATAGTTTCTGCCTGGTTGCAAGGGGGGGTTAAGGGAGGGAGTGGAGAGGGTAAGGGAGGGGGCGGGGGAAAGGGGGTAGAAATGACCCAAACAATGTATGCACATATGACTAAAATAAAAATTTAAAAAAAAAGAAGATGGGGAGGTACCAGGATGCTCTTGAAGAGAGAAAAGGCCATGTGAGAACACAGTGAGAAGGCAGCCATCTATAGGTCAAGGAGAGAAGCCTCAAGAGAAACCTGCCAGCACCTTGACCTCACTCAGGCTTCCAGCACCTGGAATTGTGAGAAGAAATTCCTGTTATTCAAGTCATCCAGGCTGTAGCATTTTGTTATGGCAGCGTTGGTAGACAAAGATATTGACCCATGGTGGAATGGGACTTGGAGCCACCTCTTCCCGAGCAGAGCTATAAAATCACATTGCAAAAGATGATGGCGCAAGGGGAGAAAGACTTTGTAGCCATTTTTCAAACTACGACGGATGTCAAGTTCTCCAAAGAGATTTGTGGATTCAATATAATCACAATAAAATGTCTTTTATTGCAGATCTCATGACAGAATTCATGCTACCAGAGATGAGGACATCTAAAACCATAGAATAGTGTGTTCTTACTGGAGGAATAGACCAACTAGTTCAAAATAATAGAAAAGGGAGCCCAAAATAATACTGACACATTAACAGCATTTGATTTGTGATGTATAGCACTGCAGAGCTGTGAGAAATACCTCTTTTTAATAATTGGTATTAGGACAACTGGCTGTTCACTTGATTGACATGTAGTTATATTCCAATTTTATCTAGTTAGAAATGGCAACCTGCAAAGCCTAATAATGGATAACTTATTCAATATATTCTGTTACTTCAATGGAAAGTGATGTAATTTCACTTTTTTTGGGTGGTGGAACTAGGGTTTGAATTTGGGGCTTGGCACTTGCAAAGCAGGTGCTCTACTGCTTGAGCCACACCTCCAGTCCATTATGCTCTGCTTATTTTGGAGATGAGGTCTTTCAAACTATTTGCCTGAGCTGGTCTCAGCCTCCCAAGTAGCTAGGCATGGACCACCTGCGCCTGGCATAATTTCACTTTTTAAAATAAGTCCTATGATCTAAACGTTCAGAAATTATGCCGAATGGCATAGGAACCAGTGACTTCAGTATTCTCCTTCAATCTCTGCTTCACTGGAGCTGCTGTTACCTCATTCCTTTCGTACCAGCTGACATTCTGCATTTTGGAGAATTCCTGGGATCGCTTGACCACGAAGTAGATGAGGTATCCACTGCCACACAAGCAACAGATGATGAGAAAGTTGGCCAGGACACGAAGAAATCTTGTCAGATGGACATTCTCCTCTTTGTTATTCTCTTGTTCATCCACTATCGACTCCTTAGAATGTGAAAATGAGGTATGGATAACGTCAGGTCAGGAACCAACAGGAACTGCGGTTGTTGGGTTTCTGAGAATACTACTTTGTATATTTCCATAAATAAATAAAACAGAGGGAGGGATTAATGCCCTGTGTCCTATGGGTAGTTAATTTTCTCTAAGAAAATATATGTAATCAGTATTGCTATTTTGGGATATGTAATAACTAAAGCTGAGATTTATTGAATTCTCATCACGTGCCAGATATGGTTCTTTCCATATGTAATCCCTCTTAATCTTATAGCAAACCAGCAGAGTAGTCACTACCATTACCCACGCTACAGATAGGAAGGTCCAGAGAGAGTTCAGTAACTGTCTGGGATTGTTTTAAATCAATGCATTCAATGGATGCAAAATAAATCACAATATTGAGTCTTTTATTTTTAACAGCTTCTCTCTACATAACCCAGGCTAACCTAGAACTCACAATCCTCCCACCTCAGCCTCCCAAGTACCGGGAGTACAGGTGTGTACTGGGTCAATATGTAGGAACTGCTAACTTTTCCTATAAAAAGATGGTTGACTTGCAGGCCATATGGTCTTTTTCATAGCTACTCATATCTGCCATTATAGCATGAAAGCATGAAATATGTAAGTAAATGGGCATGATTTTGTTTCAATAAAATTTTACTTATGAAAGTATGCAGCAGGCTGGAGGCCTCCAGGCCATAGTTTGACAACTCTTTTTCTCATTCACTTATTTAGGATTTCTTAGTTTTTTTTCAACACTGTTTTGCACTTTTTTGCTGTTGTGGTTTTGGACATCTTTGGAGATGGGTTAAATTTATTCCTAGGAATTTAATGTTTGTCAGTGCTATTATAAATAGAATTTAAAAATTATTTTCTAAGCCCAGTATGGTGGTGCACACCTGTACTCCCAGTTACTTGGGGGGCAGAGGTAGAAAGATCAAGGTGGTCTGAGGCTGGCCCAGGCAAAAAACATGAGGCCTTTCCAAAAACAAAACAAAACAAAACAACCCTAAAAGCCAAAGGGCTAGGGGCGTGGTTCAAGCGGTAAAACGTTAGTCTAGCAAGCTTAAAGCCCTGGTTCAATCCCTAGTACCACAAAAAATTCTAATTATTTTCTTCTAGTATATAAAAATGTGGGCTGGAAGATGCCCCACAGCTGCTGAACGAATTAAGAAAATGCGGTATATATACACAATGGAGAGAATTATTCAGTCATAAAGAAGAATGAAATTATGTCGTTTTCAGGTAAATGGATGGAACTGGAGAACATTATGTAGAGTGAAATAAACCAGGCTCAAAAAGTCAGAGGTATGATTTTTGTCATATGTGGAGGCTAGGCTGTAAGTGAAATGTATATATAGACACATATGATCATGCACATGTAGATCTACACACACAGATACATATAGTGAGAGATAATTTATGTATGAATATAATATAAGATACTGCTCAGTGAGCTGTTGAGTATTAGGTGAGCATGGTGATAGAGAAAGAGTAAGTCACAGTGGGGGGATAATTTGATCAAAGCACGATATATACAGGCCTGAAGTACTAGGGTGAAATCCCTTGGATCACCGATATATACTTAAAAAAAATGAAGGGCACGAGGATGAAATAGGCCTTTCCTGGAAAGGGTGAATGAGGGTGAATATGGTGGGTGTATGTTGCACTCATATATGAAAATAGAAGAATGAAGCCTGTTGAAATTGTTCTGGGAAGGGGGGTTGGGGAAAGAGAGAGAACAATGGAGGGAGTAAACCTCACTAACCTATATTGTAAGCATATATGTAAATATCACCATGCATCCCCCTGTACAACTATTATATGCTAATAAAATTAATTTTAAAAATTATAAGAAAAATTAAAAAAAGAAAAAAAAATATGGACCGGAGGCAAAGTTCAAGTGGTAGAGCACCTACTGAGCTAGTGCAAGGCCCTGAGTTCAAATATCACCAAAAATATGTATGTATGTAATTGATCAGAATTGATTTTTGTTAATCTTGTGTCCCACATCAGTAATTCTCAGTGAAGACAGAAACAGTAAGTCACAGATCTAGTGTGGAAAATGAGAAAATGAGGCCTCCTGACACTGAAGTACTGGAGAGGACTTTCTAACCAGTTGTCAATTACTGTGTTCAGATTCACATTAATTAAATCATCAGGCAGTTAATTTATGTTAGCTCACATAATTCTAACATCTGTCCAGTTATGTAAGCATATTATCTCTGTTCTTAATAGACTCAGAGAAGCCTTTCTTCTGGTGTGTTCTAAAATGGCTCTACCCTTTGTACCTTCCTGGAAGAAGAGTCACTGCCCCCTCCACCCATCCCTGATTTGGATGCAGTGACAACAGGCTCCCCATGGCTGTGGAAAAAAGAGGAGAGAGAACTGAGTTAGCTCTCTGCCCAACCCATAACCAGGCCCATAGGACTTTGGGGCACATGAAATCCATACAGAGAGCTGTGAGCCCAAGTCCTTCTCCAGACAGGTGTCCCTGCCTTCTGGAGGCAGGCGGCAGCCACTTCTCCTCCCAGGAAGGGCTAGGAGAGAAAAGAGGGAAGATGAAAGGACAACTAAGCACAGATATCCTGCAAACCTGACCTCTGCTAGGTCCTGGGGGAAGAAGAGCTGACAGATCAGAGGACTAAACCAGCAAGAATGTGGAGTGACTGCTTTTACAGACACACGGGAGCAATATGGCGTGTGGTGCCTCAGGGCCTTAGCTTCTGCCTCCCATCATTTGCTTACTGTTTTTTGTTTTTTGTTTTTTTTGAGACAGGGTCTGGCTATGTAGGCCAAGCTGGCCTTAAACTCATGATTACAGGTGGGCACCACCACACCTGGTTTGGTTTGTTGTTCTGTATGAACCATAGTTTTGTGGCCCACCTAAAATCTCTTTTGTGAGCAAAAGAATGAGATGATTATGGGTGGACTGTAAAAAAACATAGGATGGATTCTTTTATTCCCACATCTTTAAACCAGGGTTCTTCATTCTTCCTGTGTGTTCTGGTCATACAGGAAACTTTCAACACAAATCAATGCCAGGATCCCACCCAGGTTAATTACATCACTATCTTCAGTGGGGAGAAGATTTTTAAATCCCCTTAGGTGATTCTAGACCACAGAGAATATTGACAAGTGTCATCCTGAATGAGTCCTTTGATTTCCTCCAGTAGAAAGCTGTTTCATGAGAGAAACACACATGACCAGATCCTAGCATCCAGGACTCTGCCACAAAAGAAACAGATGGTGAGCTGGGTGTATTGGTACATGCCTGTAATCCCAGAACCCAGGAGGCTGAGGCAGGAGGGTTGAGAGTTTGAGGCCAGCGTGAACTAAACAAACAAACATCAGCAACAAACCCAGATGGTGGGTACCTACCATGAGCAGTCCTTCTACAAGACTTGAGAGTTGAGCTTGTTACTGGTGAAGCTCTTTCCACAGAGTACTTGTGGATCTTACTGTCTATGCTCTCACTGGGAGAAATTTCTCAGTGACCAGAAGAACCCAGAGATCCCCCCAGGAAGTGGGAACAACCCACTGTGGAGGGGCATGACTACCTTGAAGCTGGTGGCGATGGAGGCATATTTGTTGTCGGCTGTCTCTGAATTCCCTATCAGGTAGTCCCAGCTGGTGAACATCTTGAAGCTGAAGGTGAAGTTGTCAGTGTCTCCCTCGCTTGTGCTCCCCTGGGTATTGCTGGCCATCCTGGAGGGAGCATGGCACTGTCATCATGCCTGTCCTGTTTGTGCTGCTGCAACCCAAAAGAACCTTGGCCTAAGTCAGTTTTGGGCACAGGCAGCAGACATGCAGTGAGGGAACGAGCTAGGCAAGGACTTAGCCAAGACAGCTTTGATGATAGAGCATCTTTCTCCTCAAAATTAGAGTCCCCAGAAGAGACCCATGGCAGTCATTGGATAATAAGGAGCCTGAGGGATACATGACACTTGACCATGTTTTCTGCCCTTGAACTTGACTTCCTGTGGCTGGATTCACCTGCAAATGCAGTTTGGGAACTCTTGCTGGGGACTCTGTTCTCCAAGAGAAACATTCCTTTCTGAGTCTTCTATTTTCTTGGATACTGCATATAATTAGCTTTCCGATATAAATTCCTGGAGAGGTTGTATGGCCATCAGGTAATACATTCTTTTCTTAAGGCTGAAATCTTGGGACATTCTTTTCTGCTCACTTATCTCATCCTACAGGTTCTTAGTCTCTCCATGCTCCTTGGAGTTCAGCTCTTTTGGAATCACAGAATTCCAAGCAGGGGCTCTATGGGGGTTTGTGTTCCTCCTTTGTTCTGTCTTACCTGTTGGCTTTTTGTTTTGTAGGACTTAGATGTTTTGGTTCATTGTAGCGACATTCTATATTCCAGGCAAAAAGCAATAACATGAGGGCTAAGAATAAAACCAAGTTTGCCTCCTTGTTTTTTTTTCTCCCCCTTTTGCTTGATAGAGCTGGATAGCTACATATCACCTCATGATCACTGTTGAGTGCTAGGCAGGTCTTGTGAGAAATGGCACTGTCCCCTGAGAGGATACAGTAGAAAGCCAAGCCAGGCTCCCAGATTACCCCTTCAGAGGTTCTAACCAGGCTTTGTGAGTGCTCTACTCCTGCCCTGGAAACACAGTTCCCATGCTCTTTTGGGGGAAGTGGTCCCTTGTGGTCCTGCTAAAGTGTGTGTAGACCCTGGTGGTCAGGTTTGTGCAGGGGACTGACCCTGCACAGACATATTTAAAGGCCATTTCTGACCACAGAGACAGGTAGAGACTGGGCCAGACAGGCTGATTAATCACAGCCACGTGCATTTATTTGGTGTAAATCAATTGTAGGTGCCAGGCTTGTTTCCAACATGCAAGCTAGAGTTATAGAGAAGTTTTTCTAAGGAAGCTGAGCTCCTTAGAAAAACTCCAGAGAAAAGCAGAAATGGGCTTTGCAGACCTCCAGCCGTACCCTACCAGGTCCCATGCCCACTCTCAAGACACACTGGCTTTTTGATGATTTTGGGAGCACACTAGGATATTTGCTGCTTTAAGGCATGCCCTTCCTTTGTCTAAAATCCTGTGCTGCGCTTTCAGCTTGACAATTCTGAGCCTCATCAAAAGACGTTTCTATTGTATTTCCCAGAACTTCCCATATTACTTGGTTTATATCTATACCCACACTTTGTAATCCACATTTCTTTGTGTATTGGCTTCCTTGTTTTCTCTCTAACTGCCCCACAAGAAAGCCACAGAAAGGCCTGGGGAATGAGCTATGTATGTGAAGAATTGTCAAAACCTGTAATGGAGATAGTCACTTACGATCTAATGACGATCATCAGGCTGTAGCCGAACACGCTGACGCCCACCATAAAATAAGCCATGGGCAGCCTGTACCTCAGCCACCCAATGGTCCTTTGGTTGTTGTAGTAGCCATAGAAGAGAGCAGAATACTTGATATAGCCCTGTGGGATAACAAATCCGGATGCTCTGGGTTTGTAAGCTCAGAGCAGATGGCCAAGAGACATTTCCATTCTAGCAGGGATTTCTGTGTCAGAGTTTTAACCTGAGTTTAAGGGGAAGAAGGATGAGCCCCTGAAAGTGTCTTGTTCTTCTGTTACTTCCCCTAGTGACTCTAGGGTCCATCCAGTTCCTCTCTTTCCCTTCTTCATTTCCTTTACTTCCCCATTACATAGGGTGTATGGAGATAGGTAGGAAGGAGAAGAGTTTTGTTGCCTTCAAGTAAAATTAGGGTAATGTGAATGTGTGTGTGTGTGTCCACACATGCGCACATATGGATGGATAGCTCCAAATTATTTTTCCCTATCCCCAGGTTCTTCACCATCTAGAAGGAGATGGGAGTTTGTGAACTCCCATTTCAAAACTTCTAAAGAAAACCACACATGTTAAAGTTCACAGTCTAACTTGAACTTCAAATTTTGTTTTTTTTTATTTTTGACATTTAGGAGTAGCTGGTTTTGAGTACACTTTTTGGAAATTATTATTTAAGTGTAATACTAACTTACATTTTTAGTACTTTTATATGTCTATGCTAAGTAAAAAGCAAGGGGTCATTGTTGAATACATTGTTTGCTTTTGGTAGGTAAGATGTTTCAATAGGGACCCTTGGATAAATAAAGAATGAAGGAAATTCTTAGTAGCAGCATGATTGGTACCCTGTTCCAAATAATTTGGGAATTTATTATAACTCACTGTCACACATTTCTTGGCAGCTCTGGGGTTTGAACTCAGGGACTCACACTTGCTAGGTGGGCGCTCTTTATCAATTGAACCACTCTACCAGCCCCATGTCACACATTTCTGAGGGGATTCAAGCCTGACTTTGAGAGTGAAGGATGCCAGCAGCAATGACCTGTTGTGGGTGGCACTGTGGCCATGCTACCCAGTCTGACACCTTGGAGCTGTAGTCCAGAGACATGGAAGGCAGAGACTTAAAAAAGGAGGGAAGAAAATTCCAGGCAGAGGACCATGACTAGGGTCAGGGAGTCACTGAAGGTATGGCATGGTTCAGAGACTTCCCCACCCCCCAACTTGACAATATTAGGTATTGAAGTGTGCATATTAGATAAACACAGGACTGTAGCAGTAGGGAGCTGCCAGGTTGTGGGTGGATCTTTGGTAAACCCAATAAACAGTGGCATTTATTCCATCTGGGAATGGGAATCCATGCCTACCTGAGGCAGGAAAGTGACAGGGTCAGGTTTGCATTCAGGAAGTTCACTCTGACCACAGAGGGAATGGGGATCTTAGGAGCTACATCTAGGTAAGAAGGAGACGTAGAGGGTTCCCACAGGAGTCCTGGTAAAACAAGGGCATTGTTCAAGATGGAGGTAAGGGGGATGGGGAAAGCATTTTGCCTAACACTGGCATCCTATTTGCGTAAAGCCCTGGTTTTGGTGCTGGTGGAGTGACTCAAGTGGTATAGTGCTTACCTAGCAACTGTGAGGCTCCGAGTTCAAAACCCCAGTAACACCAAAAAAAAAAAATTAAAGCCTGGTTTTTCAATAATTAAATCAACACTTCCCATGTATCTATGGAATCTTATGCCTTATAATCACAAAATGGAAGTGTACTAGCTGCTAACAATACCTCAAAGTCCCAAAGGACAGAAAAATCCATGGCTTTTTCTTCCTCAGCCCGAGGCACTGTCTTTCTGGGAATACTTCCATAGGGCATGCCCATTAGTACCTTGTGGAAAGACAGAATGACAAACGAATGGAGAAAATACGAACACACGGAGGCATGTATATGCTGGGTTAGATACCTGTCCTTTTAGAGGAGACACTGTCTTCTCTAAATCACGTCAATCATTTTCCTGACTTTAAAGGAATACACACTCATTACAGAAAATGTGAACCGAACAGGAGCTTTTTAAATATTACGTATCTCCTCCGCTCCCTGGACATGATGACCATTAGATAGTGATATATTTCTAACTTCTATACATATTTTTGTCTTGTTATTTCGATTAATATTTTATAATCAAGTCCCTATTTCACAAGGCATTCCCCATAATAAAATGACTTTATATAAGTACCGCGCGCTAACCGATTGCGCCACTGGAGCACTTTTAATAAAATGACTTTAAAAATATCTAATCACATGCATGCAGCATAAACACACTTAGCAAATGCCTTGCTGTTAGACCTTGGGGTATTTCTACATCTACATGTGTACCCTTATACAAATGCCCTTATTCACGCCCTTGCTTATGCAAAAAATCAGAATTGGATTAAATTTATATTTTGATTTAGGGTGGACTTTTTTATGAGATTAAGTTTTCCCTATTAAAAGATATAGGATGTTCTTTTTACCTCTGGGATTATTACTAGACCAAATATTAAGCCAAAAAGAACAAGGTTAACTCCATACATCCATCGGAGAAAGATGAAATATGATGCCACTGAAGAACCAAAGTGACCTGGAGAGAGAAGAGACGGTGGATCTGAGAGTGTAGATGGGGGAAAAGGACACTACCGAGCACTTTACGTGGTGAAGACTCAATTTCCCCATCACTCTGTGGAGCAGACATCCTGGTCTTCATTTCCTCCCTCTAGATAAATAACTGAGGCTCTGGGGGTTAACAAACCTGCCTATACACCCAACAGCCAGAAAGTGAAGAAGCCTACTACCAGACCAAGACCCATGCTACACCCCCAACACAACAGAATTTATGAAATAACATTGTCAGAAGGCCAGTACACAATCCAAGATGTTTCAAGATTTTTGACAGTGACAGTGACACCAAAATACTAACTTTCAATGTCCTTGATCTTCATTTCCCAGGGGATGCACTGAGTCTTGAAATTAGCAAAGTCTCTCTTAAACTTGACCCATTTCTGAAATGAAACAGTAAATCCCTCAGTTATTAACATGTTGATCTGGAGCACCAAGAGACCCATCGGAGGGCATGTTGATATGGCATGTTAACATGAGGTTGACATATAGGTTAGGCTGCCATCGTGGAGACCCCATCTTGTGCAACCCTGAGTCCAGGTTGCCAAGGGTGGATGATCAAACCTTTGCTTTCTCAAAGTCAAGTGTGGAGTAAGAACAAAGCCAGGGCAGCAGCAATGCCTTGGATTTGTCTACAGTGCTGAAAACATCTCAGATTTGGCAGTTTATATACAAACTTAGAATTCTGCATTCAATTTCTGCTTTGGGGGATCAAATTGGGTGAGCAACATCAGATACAACTTTCTTCATCTTAGAACAAAGTGCAATGGAAAAAGAAATCTTACAGCACTCATCTGCACTCTTGGCAGATAGTCAAGTATCTACATCTGATAGGAATTGTTGCTAAACTATGGGACTCGGGTAGAACTGGTAAAGAGATCTCAACCCATGGCTGCCCATTCTTCTCCTGGGGAGAGGAGTAAGGAAGGTATTTTCCCTTCCAATGGTGCTGTAGTTTGAAGCTGGGACATCCTCCCCAAAGATTCATATGTTAAAGATTTGTTCCCAAGAGTGGTGCTATTAGGAGGATGTGGAAGCTTTAAGAGGTGTGGCCTAGTGAGAAGTCTTCAGGTCATTGGGAGTATGCCCTTGAAGGAGATAGTGGGACCCCGAGTTTCTCTCTCTCTGTCTGTCTCTCTCTCTCTCTCTCTCTTTGCCTCTGATACAGAGCTTCAGTGTGTAGCCTAGGCTGGCCTGGTACTCACTATGCAGCCTGGGCTGACCTCAAATTTGAGATCCTCCTGCTTTGGCCTTCTGAGCACTGGGATCACAGTGTCACCACCATGCCTGGCCTCTTTCCTCTCTCTTTGCATTCTGGCTATGAGGTGAGCAGTTTTGCTCTGCTATGTGATCCCACCATGATGTGCTTTTTTGTAATGGCCTAAAGCAACAGGGCCAATCACCCATGGGCTGAAACCTTCAAAATTGTGAGCCAAAATAATTTTTTCTCTTTATAAGTTGATTAGCACAGGTATTTGTTATAGTGGCTGAGAAAGCCCAAACTGGGTTTGTCTCCTGCTCAATGCCCAGAGTTTGAATCAACTGGAAACAGGAATAGTTGTCTATTTGATGGCTAGGGGTTGTTCTATCAATTCTGCCAGGGGGTGCTCTCCCCAAACCCCACCCCCTAGAAATAGATCCATTTGGAATTAAAAAAAAAGACTTATAGAAAATAGCAGACCAAGAGGCAGTAGGTAGCAGATCCTGAGAGCAAATTTATTTTTTTGGTGGTACTGGAGTTTGAATTCAGAATTTTGCACTTGTGAGACAGGTGCTTTACTGCTTGAGCAATGACTCCAGCCCCTTTTTCCCTCTGGTTATTTTTGAGATAAGACTTCGCTTTTTGCCCAGGCTGGCCTGGACCATGAGTCACCTATTTTAGGTTTCCTGCTGTAACTGGGACATCAGGTGAGAGCCATCTGCCCAGCTGTTGGTTGAGATGGGGGAGGGGTGTCTCACTAACTTTTTCCCAAGCTGGCCTTGAACCATGATCCTTCAGATCCCAGCCTCCCAAGTAGCTAGGACTACAGGCATGAACCACTGGTGGCCAGCTCTGAGATTAGTTTTATTTATTTATTTATTATGGTGGTACTGGGGCTTGGACTAAGGGTTCCACACTTGCAAGGCAGTCACTCTAACACTCTATCCCATATCATTTTCTTTTTCTTTTTTTTTTTAATTTAAAGGTCTCCTAAAAATTTGATCATAGTGGAAAAGAGATTTTCCCTTGTAAAGTCACTAAAGGGTGAAAGATTTATGCAAGGGCACCAGATAAGCTTTCTGACCTGATTTTTCAGGTATGGTTTTGACCATTTTCTGACTGATAAAACCAGGATGGTCACAAATGCAAAAGAGAAGAGAAATCCATAAGCAAAAGTCTGCTTGATAAGAATGGTGAGGATGTGGGGAAAGGTGAATGATGGACACTGGCATGCTACCCCCACCACTTTGTCCACCCTCCCTAGTTCTGATTCTGTGCTCAGGAATAATCTTGGCTTATTTGCTTTCCTACATAGATCTGCCTATAGAGAGCCCTTGCCACTCACCTGGGCTGTGTGGATAATTTGGCTTCTATGGAAGCCAAATTAATAGATTAGAATTGGGATGACAGCTTTATTTTCCCATGTAACTAATTTGACCATGAAAAATAAAAGGCCCTACTGATGTGGACTTTGCATTTTCCAGTTCTTGCATCAGTAATTTCTCCTTATAAATTAATAATTCAGCATCTGGTTTTATATATCAGTCTCATAAGCTTTATTAATGTGAATCCTCTCTGAAGAAATGGATCTCCTGCCAGGGTGCTGATAAAATCAGTATAAAATATAGACTTGCATGGCTGAAGAACAGTAGGGGGAACAAACCTGGCCAAGTGAGGTCCCTAGAGGCACAGCCTGCTGGCAGGTCCCTTGGCAACTGCCTGACAGTCCCTCAAGGCTGTGGGCATTTTAGACTGAGAATGATGCCCTGGAGCTGAGCAGAGGCAGAGAGAGGTCTGGGCAGATCTTCATTGGTTTAGAGTTAGACACTGGGCTGGGGCATGGGCAGAAGACCCCAAGTCCCTTCCTCAGGGCTGTGAGATGGGAGCTGCTGGCGCTGGGATTGGGTTATTAGTTGTCACAATGTTTTGCTATCTAGCTACATATAGGAAAAAGGTTTCAATTGTTGGTTGGACAAGACCTGAGCAAGCTACATGTCCTGTCTGTGGATGAAATCTGGGTCTACAACAACCAGGGAGGTCTGGGAAACAGTTCTGCAGAACAAGAAGAAGGGGACATTGTTCTTTGAAGTTTGTCGAAAACATTCTTCTGGATACATGAATAAATTCTAGGAAGCAGTTCGGCATTTCCAATAGGATGTGAGGCATCTGGCTTCAAAAGTAAAGGGTGACAATTTGAGACTTAAAACAGAACACAGATGAGTGGCTGGTGATGTAGCTCAGTGGTTAAGTATTTGCTTAGCATACATGAGGCCCTGGGTTCAATCCCCAGTACTGCAAATATGTATGTGTCTGTGTATGTGACATATGGAAGGATTACAGGAAACTAAAAGTTCAGTAACAGTGGAAAAAACATTGAACATACGATTGTTATTGACACAAAGGAAAATGGATGGATCTGATGGTGTTGAGAACACACTTGAAAACTTCTGAGATTGATGAGAGAGAGAAAGCAAAAAATAAAAAACAGTGAGGGAAGGTAAATATGGGGGTCTGAGAACAAACAACGATCTTCTTCCTAAGAACGAAGCTAGAACCTACTCGACAGAACCATGGTCTAACACTATCATTTCTAAGAGATGTAACATTGTGCCATGTTAACATTGTGCCTATGCTTAATGATTCTGAATGTGCACTCAACATTTATTAAAAAGGTAGATCTCAAATTAAGTGCTTAAGGGAATAATAATAACCTTTTGTGTGCATGTGTGGCACTGGGGATCAAACCCAGGGCCTTATTCTTCAGGTGTTATCCCACTGAGCTGCATCTCCATCCCTTGGTTTTTTGACACAGGGTTCTGCTATGTACCTCAGGCTCACCTTGAATTTGCAGTTAGCCCAGGCTGGTCAGCCTTGAGTTCATGATCTCCCTGTCTCAGCTTCCTGAGTGCTGGGATTATAGGCATATGTCCTATTTTTTTTAACCCATTAGATTAGCACAAAGTTTAAAAGAGAGTAACATACACAACTAACAAGGATAAGTCATTCTCAGATTTTGTTCATTTGAGTATGAACTGCTACAACTTGGGGAAAATAATCTAGAAATGTGTGCCAAAATGTAAAATATGCATAGCTTTGAATAGTAATAGTATTTTGGGAACACTGTTCTGATAAATACGTGAAGATGTTTGTTGCAGCCCTGTTGGCTACAATAACAACAACAACAACAACAAAACTAGATTAAAAAAGATACTTGAAAGCACATTCCTCAGTTGGAAACAAATCTGAGGTAAGTGGTAAGTAGTTCCTAGACAAAATTAATACAATGACAGACATGGTTTCCAGGCATTTATAACTGAAAAAGGAGAGAAAAAAGGGAGAATAAAAGATTCAAACCCAACTGATACAGAAAGTAATTACAAAAATTAAGGCACTGTTAATACATAGAAAAACTTAACAAAATGATCAACTTTGAAGAAGAATATGAATTACCAAAATGGCCCCAAGAAAAAATTAAAACTTGAACACAGCAGTAAAGAGAGCATGTGGGAAAAATTATCAAGGTATTCTATAAAGATAGAATTCACAAACAATTTATATTCATGCTCCATGAACTGATTTACAGCATAAGGAGAAGGTAATGCTATTTGTTTAATGTTATAAAGTAAGAGTACAGCCCTAATATTAAAACTTGCCAACATAGCATGCATGTGTACACAAACATAAAAAATTCATATTGACCTTATGAAAACTTATGTAAAAATCATAAATAAATGCCATAAAATCAAATGTGTCTGTAGAGTTAATTTACCATGACTGAGTTTATCCCTGAAATACAAGGGAGTTTAATAACAGAAAGAGAAAGGGGTTTAATAAAAATGTAATACATTTCCAATAAAAAGGAAGTCTTACTAAACTATAACTTAAGGATAATTTCTCATTATGAGAATGTCTATTTTAAGCTGACAACTTTCATTAACTTAATATGAAATCCTCAAGTCTTTCTCATTAAAAGGTTGAAATTGATCACCATTGTCAATGGAAATTGTTGTAGAATTACTAATCCACACTTCACATTTAGAAAAACCCCACGAAACATCGTTATATACAAAAATCATATGAAACTGACTAGAATGATTATAATTAACAAGAGAATACAAGAGGCAGGAGGTATAGATCAGTTTGAGGCCATGGGTTTGATCCTGAACATCACCAAAAAAAAAAAAAAAGATAGAAAAAAGAAAAAAGAGGAGTATAATAAGAGAACTAGACATAAAATTGACACACAAATCTATTCTTTTCTACCTACCACTAATAACTAGATATTAAATAAATGGAAAATTATTCCATTCACAAGGCAACTAGAATAAAAACTATATAAAAATAAATCCATTGACAATATCTGTGTGAAGAAAATGACAAACTTTGCTGGTGCATGTAAAGTAAGTCCGAGAAGAGAATGGTATTATTAGATGCAAAGATTAAATATTATATAGGGAAGAAGTTTGACCCAACTAAATTAAGGGTTGAAAAATCTCCCACACTCATATGTGGACTGTAAAGACATTGCTGTCATGGAAGCTGTGAGTAGAATGGTGGTTGTCCAAGACAGGGAAGAATAGGGGCAGGGAGGGATGGACAAAAGCTGATTGATGAGCACAAAGTTACAGTTAGATAGGAGGAAGAAGTTCCAGTGTGCTATTGCATAGCAGGGTGACTATCGATAGCAATAATGCTAAAAGGAAGGATTTTGGAAGTTTTGCCATAAAGAAATGATACTTATTTGAGGAGATAAATATGCTTAATTTGATTTAAACATTATGCAATGTTTACCATGTATTGAAACATCACATGTGACCTTATTGATATGTACAACGTTTTTGTTTTTATGTATCAATTAAAAATAATTTGAAACATTCCCATCAAAATTTCAATGGGATATATTGGAACTTGGCAGTAATTTTTAGAACTGTGTACGGGCACATAGGCAAGAGAAGCTAAAACATTTTGAAAACAAAGGTAAAAAGAAAAAAAGTTGAAATGATGACATCTAATAATTGTTCAGAGTAAAAGCCCTGAAAGAGGCTACACAAGAGCTGAGTGAATGAGAGTGGTAGCTTTTCACGTTAGAGGGTCCTTCAATACCACTTCAATACCCCAAAGGAATTATGATTCTTCAATAAGTCCCATATTAAATACTCAATCATAGAACATTACCCTCACCTGAACCAGAAGCCCAGGTCCTAACATAATAACACAGAGCTGCCTGCCCACTCTGGGGTCATTACTGTGTGATGACCCTGATTACTATGGGTCCTCTGGATCTCCACTAAATCAGGATGTCCTGGTTTGGGGTTTGAAAAAAAAAAAAGCCAGTGTTTTTTTTTGTTGTTGTTGTACAAGGGCCCAGTGGTTTTAACATCACTAATACTGTGAGTTTATTCACTGGAGAGGGGATAAATCTCATGAAGCCCTGCAGAAAAATATAGAATAATTGGCAGGAGGCAGTGGATGCCCTGGAGGAGCTGGACTAGTCTATTGAACCTCGCCTTCAGGGTTCGGGGGTACCTGAACACAAATGGTGGCCAGTGACTGCGGTGTTCCCTATAACCCCACATCGATGGCCTCCATCCTCCAGGGTTTGCTGCCTCTGCACCACACACCTTGGCCATCAGCATCTTGTAGGCATAGAGTTGCTTGCCCTTTCCCTTTCCCAAGGCTCCTTCATACTTCTCCACAAATTCTTTGGCCTCCCTGGTCAGGAAAAAAAAAATGAGTAGGGATTCAATTAGCACCTAATCAGAGGAAATTTAACCCACAAGGGGCTGTACTTTTAGACCTTTGGTTAGAATACAAATTCCATAAAGGCAGGGCTGCATTGACCACTGTAAGTTTCCCAAGTGCCAAGAATAATTCTTATATATAGTAGACACTTGTGATGGGTGGAATTTTGTCATTGCTCCCCAAGACCTTTGCCCCTTGGTATTATACCTGTGAATAAACTGTTAAATTGTAAAGGTACTCTGCAGAGGTAATTACGATTTCTGACTTTAAAATGGGGAGATTAGCTGGCAGAATGGCTCAAGTGGTAGAGCATCTGCCTAGCAAGGGTGAGGCCCTGAGTTCAAACTCCAGTGCTGCTAAATAAAAGGGGAGGGATGTTAAAATAGAGAGATTAATTTGATTATCTGGATGGACCCAATGTAATCATATGAGCTCTTCAAAATGATGAGATAGGCAAAAAGAGTCAGTGAGATGTGGCAGAAGGAGAAACCAGAGAAATGAGAAGCAGGAAAATTCTTGACCTTCTGTTGTTGGGGCCCCTCTGGAGGAGGTCACTTGGAGTGGACCTTGAGCCCAGATGAGAACTGCAGCCCTGATAATATACTGGTATTTCTGGGTTGCTGACTTCTCCAATATTCTGTCTGGGATACATACATAAGACATAAAGAAAAACCAAGGAAGTCAATGCCCTACCATTCCTATGGTCCAGAGGTCCTTTAACAATTTGCCACCTTCTCTCCACTTTTCTAAATCATCTATGGTTGCTCTATATAGAATGTCCAGAGTTTCAGTTGTAGGGGGAAGAATGGGGAAAGGTGTTTCTACTCCATTTTCCTAGAGGTGGAAGTCTTCTGATCTCTGAAGACAGAGGCCTTCTGGGTAATTTTCTAAGACATCAAGCTTCTGACAAATTGAGGGATCTACCTGACTATGATTAAAGCCATATCTCCAGCTTATGGGCACTAGATGTTCCTATGTGAACATCACTTCACCTTGTACCATTATTAATGATGTGTGCTTCCCTCATCTCTCTGGGCTCACATAGTGTCTGGCACAAAAGATGTTCAAGCTTTAATAGTAACTACTATTTATTACCTCTGTATTCTGTGTTGGGAACTTGATAAGCATAGTTTTGAATTTATAGAACAACCTCGTGAGGTAGGCATTTATTTATGAGGAACATGAGGTTCAGAGTGGCCCAGGGAAGGAAACTGGCCTGAGAGAGCAGCCAAAACCATCTGGATGGGGCAGACACATAAACTCAGGTTTGTCCCAATTCACTGTTGCTGTTCTTTGTGCCTTGCCACTCTTCTTAGAGTGTAGTTAAAGCAACTACACTCAGGTCTGCCAGCTGCATGGCTGGGCCAGAGACTAGAGTCCAACCATTGCTTCTAAGAAAGAAGATGTGATCTGCGGATGCTATCCGAAGTTGGAGACTATTGTCAGGAAAGGAAATCACACAGTAAGCATAGGGGTACATTCTAGAATGTCTGCTCATTCTGGAGCAGTAATTATAAATAAACAGTGCAGCTTCTGGAGTCAGAATGTCTGAGTTCAAATCCTGGGTGGGCCACTGAATTTGCTGTGTGAACCTGGGTGAATTACATGACAGCTCTGTGTCCCAGTTTCCTCATCAGTAAAATGGAGATGATAATAACAGTACTGACATCGGAAGGTGATCATGAGGGTTAAATGAATTGTTACACATTCTACACTCAGAACAGTGCCTGGCACCCAGTAGCAAATGGTAGTTACATGTAAAAGAGGAATAACATTAAATGGTGAATAAGATGTAGCTCTGCAAACAAGAGCATCTGTCCAGTCAGGTGAGAGGACAACACCCTGGGGAATCAGAGGGACAGCAAGTAACTCAGTCTGAATGTGGGGAGGAGCAATGTGGACTTCTATGCAGAAGAGACACTTGGTCCAAGTCTTATTGGGTGTGTGGGTAGTAGTCTGATGGGCTAGCAGAAATAGCAGAGGTCTGGCAGGAGTGGAGACCCAGAGGCTGAGAGCCTTAGACTTGAGCTGGAATAAGGAGTCTTGGGGAAGGAAGGGGAAGAAAGAAGGGGCAGGAGATGTGGAGGGAAAAGCCCACCATGGGGAGACATAGTGCTAGGGAGATGTGGTCTCTTTGGCCTTAGTCCCTCCCACCATGCCAGCAGCAGGGCCTTTGTCCCTCAGAGGTGTGAGGAGATGCAAACTTCTACCCTGGGCAGGATTTTCCCATTCTGAGACTTCCAGCCCATGGAGATCTCATTTCCACAAGCATTCAGGCTGCTTTTTTTCCACTGTTAATAAAAGATGTGTTCAGGTGACACCTGAGTGGGGATGAGGTTCGGTGGGAGTGACAGGTGGCTGTCGACAGCTGCTGACATGGAGACTAGCCAGAAGGGAGTGGGGGAATGGACTCAGCTCTAAGCCAGCCCACTGCTTAGAGCTGAACCAAATGGTAGCCACATGTGTATTTACATTTTAAAATTCTTTTTTATCTTATTGTTTTAATTGACAAACAAGAAATGTATGCATATGATGTACAATATGGTGTTTTGATAAATGTGCACATTGTGGAATGGCTAAAGCAAGTTAATTAACACATGCATTACCTCATTTAGTATTTTTTTTGCAGTGACACCCCTTATTCCTTTTTTGGGGGGGCAGTACTGGGGTTTGAACTCATAGTCTACACCTTGAACCACTCCACCAGCCCTTTTTTTGTGATCATTTTTTTTTGAGATAGGGTCTCTTGAGCTATTTCCCCAGTGAGACCCCTTATTTCAAGTATGCACTGCTATTAACTATTGCCACCATGTTGGACATAAATCTAAAGAGTTCAGTTTCTTAGTCACCTGTCAAGTGCTCAGCAGCTACATGTGGCTAACGATAGTACAGATTCATGAGATTTCCATTATTACAAAAAGTTCTGTTGAGCTGGACTTGGGGACTCACATGGTAATCTCAGGACTTTGGAGACTGAGACAGTAGGATCATGAGTTTGAGGTCAGCCTGGGCTATCTACCAAGATCCTGTCAAAAAAAAGAAAGAAAGGAAGAAAGAAAGAAGGAAAGAAAGAAAGTTCTGTGGATCACAGTCAGCCTGCAGCATGGCTGAGACACTGCGGGGCAGTGTTTTCTTCTTGCAGCTGCAAGAAGACTGCTGAGGGAGTAGATTTGCCAGACCCTTGTCAGGGTCTGCACTGTTGAGGCAGCCAGAATCTTTGTTGCCTCTTGAGGTAGTGTCAAGATGGCTGCCAAATTGCTCTCATAACAATAGGATTTTGACTTTAGCAGGAGGAAACTCCTGAGTGAGAAGCACCAGGGAAAATGGCTTGATATGGAGGAAAAGAGAAAGTGACTCATTGTGGTAGAACAGAGGAGGGACTGGGGGGGAAAGAGTAATGTTGGATGGGAGTTTTCTAGCAGATAACCAGAAATTGTGCAATGTGAATTCTATTCTCACCCAAAGCTTCAGCAGCGATTCAAGAATCATAAAATAAGCCAGGCATTGGTAGTTCACACCTGTAATCCCAGCTACTTTGGGAGGTAGAGATCAGGAGAATCATGGTTCTGAGGCCAACGGGGCTGGAGTGGGGGTAGTTTGCAAGGCCCCATTTCAACAAATAGCTAGGTGTGGTGGTGTGCACCTGTCATTCCAGCTATGCAGAAAGATTAAAATCAGAGGATCTTAGTCCAAGCTGGCTTGGGCAAAAAGCGAGACCCTTCTCCAAAAGCAAAAAGGGCTAGAGGTGTGGCTCAAGTGGCAGAGTGCCTGCCTAGCAAGCCTGAAGCCCTAAGTTCAAACCACAGTATTGCAACACACACACACACAGACACACACAAAATAATTATAAAATGCTTGGTGTGCCAGCCTTTCATATGGAAATCAGAAAAGTTGCTAAGTTGAAAATAAGAGTCAAGTGGCAAGGGTAGAGGCCTGGCTATCATTTCCAGAATTGCATTCATGGAGCATCATCCCCAGAGTGGCCTTGCGTTAAGCCATAGAATCGTGTAAATAGCTAAAACAGTCCTTCCCACTCATTATACGGATAGCTACAAGTGAGAGTGAGATGCACTTGGAGAGGTTTGGGTGTCTGAAGGATGTAGAAAGGAGAAAGCTGATTTTGTTGAGGAGGGTCATAGACAGCTTCCCTGGGGAAAGCATGTCTGTGTTGGGTCATGAGGGAGGCACAGAACCACCACATGCTGTGGGGCACAGTAGGGAAAGGGTGGCCAGGCAATAGAAAGGATGGGCACAGGGCTGCCATCTCTCCCCCTTCAGCTCTGCTTGAAGTTAGAAACCTCAAGGGCCGCTGGGCTCTAATGCCCTCCACCAGCCGTTGCTGTGCTTATCCTGGGGAAGGTAGTAAGGTGAATACTCCTTGTTGAGTTCCCTTAGGAACAAGAGCAGGAAGGGACTCCCTCCTATTCATATCAGAAGGAGCTGAGCCTTGTCTCTGTGGACACTGAGAACCCGGGTTGACCAGCAATTACCTGAGCTCCCTCAACTTCTTGGCCATGGGCCAAGGCTTGTTCCGCATGGTGGAAATGAGCTTCTTTTTTTCTTCTACCTGCTCCAGGATCCGAGCCAGTTCTTCCTCAGATAGGGACTCCCCGCTAAAGGCACTGGAGGCCAAGGAAGATGACCTAGGGGAGAACCAGGGCAGATGCAGAGGAGAGCTGGAGAGGAGGTGGGTGTGCTCATGGGCTCTGGAATGCAGAGGATCCCACAGGTGAGGTGGTGAGGCATGCTCGCTGATACTCATATGGCTGATGGAGCCTGCCCCTGCTCAGAAGCTGTCAGTGACTCCTATGCCCATCAGGGGAGTCCAAAACTCTACCCTGTAGCCCAAGTCACCACAGGGGCTGCCTCCCAAACTCAATTTCTCTGAGTTCTTCATTCCCACACTCTCCAGTACAATACTGCCCAGTAGAGATAGAATGTGTAATGTAAAATACACTAGTAGCCACATTTAAAATAACATATTTCATTTAGTTCAGCATATTAAAAATATAATTTTAACATGTGATGAATATAAAAATTATTGATATATTTTAGTTTATTTTGATACTATCTTCAAAATACTGCATTCACTCTTTATTTACAGTGAATGTCAACTCAGACATTAAATTTCCATCAGACATATTTAATTTGTATTTGGTTTTCATACAGTTATAGTTGGAAAAGTAAATTCACACATCCAAATTGTTTTAGTCATAGTTAAAAGTTTCCTGACAACTGAATCAACTGGCAAAATGTCATTTTTCTTTGATATTTGCATCTTCATTGAGAAAACTAGCTTATCTTTTTGTATAAGAAATGCTTTGACTTCAAAATCAAATTACATTAGTTTTAAAACTACATCTGTTCAAATTCATTGACTCTATGCCAGTGCAATGGTAGTAATACTGAATTAAAATTAGGTTAAATTAAGTACAGCTAGGGGAGAAAAAAACAGTGGGAGAAACACCAGCTTTTGTCATGATCATTCTATTCATGTTCCAAAAGCTTCTCCAACCATTATCACAGCAGATCCTTTAAACCATTCCAAGAAGCAAGTAAGGCATAGACTATCCTGCACAAGTGACAGAGAAGCAAAGAGAAAGAGGCATCCCAGCAAAACTGGTAGCCAAAAAGTGAAAGGAAAACCCTGATTTTCAGATTCTATAGGTGAAGTTTTTGTGTGTGTGTGTGAATGTGTATGTGTGGTACTGAGATTCAAACCCAGGACCTTGTGCTTGCTAGGCAAGTGCTCTGCCACTTGAGCCACACTGCCAACCCTCCAGATTCTATAAGCTGGATCTGTTTACTACCCCATGCATACTAGCGCTAACAGAACAAAGAACCCCAAACGAGTCATTCAAATCCCTAAATCCTAGAATTTCAGGGCTGACAGAACTCTTGAAGTTCTAGGCCAACGGCATGAGTCTAGCAGAGAAAATGGTCCAGGTAGGGGAAAGGGTGTGCTTAAGCCCTCCGGTGATCCCCAAATCCAATGTTGTTCATTTTTCTCAGCATTTGTCATGGAAAGCAGTGCTGAGTTATCAGGTGAAACTCAGAGAGGACTTGAGATCTTTTCCCACCCTCAATCCGGTCACCTTCCCACTCAGAGCTTCACTTGCACCATGACCACCCGAATGGAAGGTGTCCAGTGGTCAGTTCTCCTGTGATGGCTATGCACAGTGAGGCAAGTGCAAGAGGAGTAAGATCAGGGCTGCCTCTCTCAAAAGAGGGGGGACCCCAGCCCCTCACAGAGGAGGGAGAAGGCATCGGAGAGGGGAGGCACACGATCAGACCACAACACACCTGGGTTTCTTCAGCTGCTTGTTCTCCTTCCTCAGAATCCCCTTTTCTTTCCTTGGGGATGCTCTCTGCTCCTTGAAAGAAGCCCTTTCGTCCCTCTTCCTCCTCCCCTCACGGGTCCTGTCCACAGGACTCTGCTGCTGTCCTCGCAGTCCCTCACGCGGGCTGGCACGCTGCTCTGTCTGTTTCCTCCGGGGAGACCCGGACCTGGGGCTGCCCCCCGCCCATTCTTTCTGGCCAGGCTGGACTCCGCGCCTGCCCTGGGGACCCTCGGCTTTGGGACTTCGCTTCTTTGAGGGTCTCTTCTCCGACTTGTCACCTGCAGGGGCAGGAAATAGACAGAGATGACCCTACCGACTTCAACCCAGGAAAGCGCCCCACCTCCACCCATGAGAAATCAAAAGTCCAAGATGCTTCAGGAGTTTTTCAACTCTGTTGGGGCTCAGAACATCATGGCCCAAAATATGGCACCTTGGCACACTGATTTATGCTGAAGAAAATTGAGAAAACCACAGAAGGCCACTCTAACCTTTGCCCTCCCTCTTCCCCTTAACACGAGCCCTGACATAATAGGTGCCTTGCCCTATGATGTTAGGAAGAAATGTCACACAGAGAAGCCAAGAGGAACCTGAACAGACAGTCTTTGCAAGGTCCCCTAGTTGGTTGCCTTTAGCTCATACTCTTGTCCTGTACTCACACTTCTGCATGACTGTCCTTAAAAGTAGTTTTCCCTGTGTCTTTGGATCTTTATCTCTGGCGAATAAAACTTTAAATGAATTTTAAGAAATGCTTTTTTCTTGTTAATCTGTCTTTTGCTATACAGGTCTTGGCCTTGAATTTGTGCTGATTGAGAAAAGAAATCTCTTCCCCACAGCTCTAAAGGACACTTATTTGGAAAACTATTGCTTTTGACAAGACTTCTCTCCCTCCTCTGACCTGCAGGCTCCCCCTACCTCCCCAAAAGCTCGTGTGCAGACCTCAGGTAGAGATCCAAGCAGGTGCTTTTGCTCCTCCAGCATTTACAGTTCTTTGGGCTTGAAGCTGAGTCATGTACAGAGTCCCAGTTCCATGGCCAGGAGTGGCCTCTGATTGGGAAGGCTGGCCCCTGAGAAAGGAAGACCCACCTGCCCCATCCTCCAGGTGCTGCCCCCCTGATGAGGGGCTGTCCCTGGCATGAGGAAGGGCACAGAGGGTGATTGCCCAGCTGAGCCAGTTTAGATCCTGTTCCTTTAGCACTGCCTAATTTATTTTAAGAGTGACTTTGTCATGTTGAGGAATGGTCTGGTTGAACAGACTCTACATTCTAAACATTCCGCAAGGGTTTGCCCAAGAGTTGAAGCACAGCTTCCTGAATAGGCATTTACAATCAAATGCAGATAGAATGACGTTCTGGTGTTGTTAATGAACCTCTCCACTTACTATCTGGGTGTTCTCTAAGCAAATCACTGAACCTCTCTGAGTCTCAGCTCTCCTCCTGCAGGTAGATGTTAATGCTCTACTCTTAGATTGTTAATGAGAAGAGCCTGGTGACTGGCCTCTGAGAGTGGACATCAACATTCTGGCACTCTTAACCAAAAATAGGATCTTTTTATTTGTAAAGAGAACACAGGCTTGGAGCTAGGCTGATATGCATGGAAAGGTCTCTCTTTTATTCTGTGTCCACAGATACCTTATCTTTCTTTTCTGCACTTCAGTTTCCTCATCTGTAAAATGACTCCAGTAGCCCCAATTTTTGGCATGGTTGGGAGGGTTAATTAAAAACAGAACTAAGGGATCTGGCACATGCAGGTACACAGTAGAGGTCCTTCTGACATCTGTGTCTCTAACCTGACTTTTCCTTTTAGTCCTCTGAGACCCTGTGTCAGAGTGCGTGTGGCCTGGACTCCTGGAGCTGTCTGCAGAGCACTTGTGTTCACTGTCCACAGTGGCTCCCCATGTAGGTTTTTCTGTCATGATCAAGCAGACTTCCCCAGCTGCACTGTGGGAGCCCAAACATTGGGCAGAACAGAGGGAGTTTCACTCTCCAGCATCCTCAGCAGCAGTCCTGCAGTGATTGGGGTCCGACACAGAATTCAAGTTCTCAAATGTTCTACCTATTCTTTGCCTGCCTCCCACAGCTGTGTATGCAAAAAAGGGACCACATAGAGCTGCTCTCTCAGCTGTTGTGAGTGCTTTGAGCTTTTACTTCATGAGGAATAAACCATACTGTAGTACAGCAACCAAATCTCTTTGATGTGGTGAGGCTAGATTTGGATAGACAGAGATGGAGCTCTGGAGTCCTGAGTGTCGGAAAGCTGGTTCTGTGGCCATTACCCGGGTCACGTTGAGCAGGTCAGGGTGCTTGTTCTCTCTCTGTTTAGTTACTGTTGGGGAGTTGAGTATGTGTTATTGGTGATCTACTCAGGCCCCCATTTCTAAGCTCCTGTGTCAATGGGCATTGGCTCTAACAGCACTCAGCATCTTCCTTATCCAGGGAGTCCTGGGTAAATGGGGACCATATTTGGGGGAAATACCTGGAAATTTACCTCCTTCTCCTCTCCTTGAGTCAGTCCACAGCCAGCATCACCATAGTAATCAAAAGCAGATTCAAATAATATACCATGTTTGGATCTAAGATCTAATAAAAATTATAGATTTGAAAAAAAGTAGATTCAGACCCCAGTCTTAAAAGAAAGGAAGAAAAAAGGAAAGAAAGAAAAAAGTCAAGATACCAATTTTTTGAGTTGATGGAGTGGCTCAAGTGGTGGACTAACAAGCACAAGGCTCTGAGTTCAAACCCCAGCACTGCAAAAAAAAAAAAGTAGACAGAAAAGTAGACAAGCTGGGCCTTGGTGTCTCATTCCTATAATCCTCGCTACTCAGGAGGCGGAGCTCCTCAGGAGGATCACGTTTGAAGCTCAGACAAATAGTCAGTGAAACCCTATCTTGAAAAAAATTCATCACAAGAAAAAGGGCTGGTGGAGTGGCTCAGGGTGGAGGCCCTGAGTTCAAGCCTTAGTGCCACACAAAAAAAAAAAAGTAGGCAAACACATTAAACATCACAGACCAATATCTCTCATGAACAAATTTCAAAGTCCTCAACAAAATGTCAAATTGAATCCACCCATGTATAAAAAGAATTATACTTGGGCTGGGTGTATGGCTCAGTGGTAGAGCTCCTGCCTAGCATGTGAGAGGTCCTGGATTCAATCCCCACCACCACAAAAAAGATAAAATAAAAATCTAGGGCTAGCAGTGTGGCTTAAGTGGTAGAACACCTGTTTAGCAAAAGTGAAGCACTGAGTTTAACCCCCCCAGTAACACAGCCACCCACAAACAAGCACACACACACACACACACACACACACACACACACAAAATTAAACACTCACGCCAAGTGGGATTTATTACAAGCATGCAAGACTGGTTCGACATTAGAAAGTCAATTAATGTAACCCATCATATCAACAGGCTTTTAAAAAACATAATCATATCAACAGATAAGGAAAATATATTTAAAATGCTTCACTTATTTATGATTTTAAAGTTCTCAGCAAAATAGGAAGAGTCAAAGTCTTTAATCTGATAAAGAATTTCTACGAATAAAACAAAAGCAAAAGCAAACAAACCTATAGCTAACATCATAATGGTAAGAAACTAGATGTTTTCCTTCTATGATTGGGAACAAGACAAAGATGTCCCCTGTCACCTATTCAACCTTGTGCTGAAAATGCTGTTAGGGGTGTTTTAGTTGCTTTTGCTGAAAAGCACTCCTTACTTGAACCCATAAATTAATAAAAACAGGAGAAAAGCTTGGCATTCCTGCTTCCATTTTGTACCCGTTGTCCTTTGCTGTGAGCCATTCTCTCCTGCGGTCACCTTGGAATCAAGGAAAGACAGAAATGATTGATAACATCTTATGACAAGGGACTAAAACTTCCTCAAAGGAACAGCAGAGCCTTTCAGGACAGCCCGCCCCTCCAAATGAGGACAATTACCTGCAATGATGAGGCTGCACCCTGGAGCAGGAGCCAGATTGCTACCCTCCAGTGATGACAGCGATAACAACTTCTCTGGAACCCTCTCAGAACCCTTGGACTGAGATAATAGTAACCAGAACACACCTGTGACTAGGACCATTTAACTTTGCATATCTTTGTCTCCTGCCCCCAATTCTTTGTCTATTTAAAGCTACAGCTCATGTCTCTACACTGAAAATGGCTGCAGATGGGCTGAGTGCTTACTCTGCCTCTTCCCATGGTGTGTCCTGGACCATGTAATAAACCTCCTTTCTCTGCCTTCACCATGTCTCTTTATTTGGTGTTTAGTGGCAGGTGGCCGGACCTGGCATATGGAACCTCAGGATTTTGGGCCTTGGGTCCAAAACTCCGGTTTCAGTATCATAAAATAAGAATAAGGTAGAAAGGCATACTAATTGGTAAGGAAGAAATAAAACTGTCTTTGTTCACGTGGTATCATTATTTATGTAGAAAATCTCAAAGGACTGACAAAAAAATCCACAAGGCTCTCAGAATAAGCAATTACTGCAAAGATGCAGGATACAAGGTTAATAAGCAAAGTCAGTTGCTTTTCTCTATGTTAGCAATGAACAATTGGAATTTGAAATTAAAACCACCACACTATTTACATTGGCACTAAAAAAATCAAAATACTTAGGTATAAATCTAACAAAATAGGTATAAGAGCTAGATGAGGAAAACTACAAAATTCTGAAGAACGACTTCAAACATCTAAATGAGTGGTGAGATATTTCATATTCATAGATAAGAAGACTCAATATTGACGGGCGCCAGTGGCCTATGCCTATAATCCTAGCTACTCAGGAGGCAGAGATCAGGAGGATTGTGGTTCGAAGCCAGCTAGGGCAAATAGTTCGTGAGACACTATTTCAAAAAAACCCATCACAAAAGAGGGATGATGGAGTGAGTCAAGGTGAAGGCCCTGAGTTCAAGCCCCAGTACCATAAAAAAAAGAGACAATATTATTAAGATATCAATTCTCCCCAACTTTGTCTATAGATTCAAGACAATCCCAATTAAGGGATTTTAAAGTTTATAGGGAAAGATGAAAGACCGAGCAGAAAAAGCACAACATTGAAGGGCAAAGTTGGAGACTGACACTACCCATATCAAGACTTACTACAAAGCTCCAGTGATCATGGCAGTGGTATATGGACGAAAGGCAAAGAAATCAATCAATTAAGCAGAATTGAGAGCTATACCAATATAACCAACTGATCTCTGACACAGGAGCAAAGGAAATGCAATGGAGGAAAGGTAGCCTTTTCAAGAAATGGAGCTAGTACTGAGCTTCAGCAGC